GGCTTGCCACTCTTAGGGCGTCAGGCTTGCCACCCGACATCTGATTGTAGGCAGAAGCAGAATACGCGGCTTGCGTAATGAAGAATCTGAGTCCCCGGTGACCTGAAGGGCTTGCCACTCCGCATCCCTTTCCTAGTGTCGCTTCAAGCTTTAGGGTGCCCTGCCAACATTCCCACCCCAACATCTCCGCTACGGGCGATGTTGACATCTCACGCCCCTGCGTTGTCTATGGACTGCACGTTGTCTATGGACTGCAACTTCACTAGGTTTGGGCATAGGTTTTGTTTGCCTGAGAGGTGTTCCAGGGAAGGTTTTCCGGTCTCACACGTGGAGCCTGGAGGCCCCGAGGAAGGAACAAGTCACAAGTCACAAGAAAGCAAAGTGACAACACAAGTTACAGCTTGTCAAAAGCAAAGTTACTAAGTTACACATGACAGGTTTCCGAAACTAGGGGTACCCTTCTTTGGGGGCTCTTAGTATTTTGGGGGGCATATCAGGGACCCTATTTTGGGGAAATACCCATGTAATCTAGCTACCAAGACAAGGCAGCATCGCCTTCGGAGTCATCTTCACGATGAAGCAGGAAGCTGCAGTGGCTGTGGTTCCTGGCGTGTCAACCTCCCTCTCTGCATGTGGCACCCCCAGTACTGCGGACCCGAAGCAGTTGACCCTCACTACGCAAAGGCCCTACTTCACGAAAGGTCATGAGGTCTCAATGTGGCTGTGGCCTTCGCGAAGTTGATTTGGGATTTGGAACCATCTACAGCCTCCTTGGCAGTCTTCCTTCAACGGTTCAATCAAGACCCAAAAAGGCTCGGCCCCCGAATTTGGAGAATCACGTGCTTGGCGGATTCCGGTGGTAAACCTCAGGGACCCCAAAGCCGTACAGCCCTTAACGTCCTAAACCCACTCAGACACCGGTGGAGCCCCCCCCTAAAACTAACTTCAAAATCCCCAGGCACCCCCACCTCTGGATGAGGCCATAAGCAAGGGAAAGAAGCCATAGGATGCTCCCAGGCCTCTGAGAAACTGAACTGGCAGTTTGAGACTGGGTTTGGGTGATTTCATGGAGCGTTTTGGGGCTTGAAGCCATTCGGGGGCTGTGTTTCATCAGCTGTTTTTTTGTTTCAGAGATTCTTTAACAGTTGCCCCCATAGACTTAGAACAGCCCAATCTCTGAGATGATGCTGCTGTGGTCTGCTGTCAGATCCTGAGGTGGCTGAAAATCACGCTCTCCTCTGATGCGTCTAGTTTGGGACTTCGGGCTGAGGGATTTTCAGGGCGGGTTGGCATCAATCTTCCAATCCAAGGCTGCCACTCCGGAAGCGCGATCGCCACGCGCAGACCTGGACTATCACGAGAGCACGAGAGCTTGGGTCATTCAAACTTTGAGGCCGGGGATGCTTGGGTCATGCAGTTCGGATCGTTCTCTCGCTCACACATGCAAGCTCACGACACCATGCTCCGCAGACTCAGAAGCATCGCCGGCGCCACATTTTTTGGCAAAGGCAGCTGCGAACCTGCCTGGCCTCGACAGGACGGGTGAATGCACGGCACATTCGCCCTGAGGTTCTAGCACCTACCATGCCCGCACCACAAAGCACAAAGCTTTTGCCGGAGGCACAATAGGCCGCTGGTGAGCGCAGCGGCCTAAGACGAGTAAAACACGTTTGCATTCACTGGCGTTGGGATACGTCTGTGTCAAGCTACCTCTCGTCTCGGAGCCGATACAAGGGTGCATACCGAGTGCTGTCAAATGGCCCCGACTTGGAAACTCCTGCAGCAATGTCTAAGCCCCAGGCAGCCAAACGCTGGAAGCGCGCGCGGCCTGGTCCATTTGTGTTTTAGCCCGAGCGGTCCGCACACGTGCCAAAGCTCCTGACCGAAGGTGACCGAAGGCTGCAGCACTCTTCGGCGGCGCATTTTTGGAGTCCACAAACCCATCCGCCCTCCGTTCCCAGTGATAGAACGTTGCTCTGCCACTCGCGCTTTACAAAACGTGTAACAGTGCAGCATCACGCGCTTGCTGTTCGGAAGGCTCCCGACCAGGTGACCAGCTAGGACAGCTAGGTCATTAGGCAGTGGGGTGGTTAGGAATGCGCTTTGGACAGGCAGGGGGCATTTGCGGCTGCCAAGCGCATCAGACCAAAACTTGCAAACTATACACCATCGAAATAATTTCATTTGAAACTGTGCGGTGTGCCGCGGAAGCAAGACCGCCTTAGCTTTACACTTTACACTGAGCTTTACGCCCAAGCACTGATGAAGCCACGCTGAATTCCTCACTTTGACGCATGCCGGCATGCATCCCTGTATGGCAGGTTACGCAACTCCGAGAGGGTATCACGAAGTTGCCGGTCACCAAGAAAAAGGAGCGGGCCTCATGGTAAAATGGGTGCCGTTTGGCTCTCCACTGGGGCTGAGTTCATCGAGCTGTAACTCACCGAGCAGCCCCCACAGTGGCCGCTAATGCATACTGCGCACTCAAAGCTCGCAACAGATCTCCTGCAAGACTCAAAGCAGTGCTGGTTGCCGCAGCTCGAGCATCCTCCGTAGCAGGAGTTGATGGAACACCGCGCATAGCAGCCGGAGGGATCTGGATGGCTGTAGCAGGGGCTGCCACAACCATGCAGCAGGGAACCTCCTGTAGCACAGGTTCCTGCCTGCCTTGCAAGGAAGCTCACGGGTCCATCTGCCTCCTCGCCTGTGGCACCAAGGAAGAGCTTGGTGAAGTCCGGCCCAGCATCCACCAGCGAATGGGAGTCGAAGTTGAGTGCCTTGCTGCAGTCAGAGCACTTCGAGTCCAGGCACGCCAAGCAGAAGTCCGAGGAGTTGCCTGAACTGCACTCCTTTGCACAGAATCGTCGGCCGCAGTCGACTTGTGTGCCCAGGCAGGAGGCACAGGTAGATGGCACCTTCAAGCCGAGCAGGCAGTCGGACACACACGCGGCCTTGGAGTCCTTCTCTGAACATTGCTGGGCGCACGTGTGCAAGTTGTTTTGGTTGTCGGAGAGGCAGCTGCCCTCTGCCACGGCCAGAGACATGACCACTACCAAGATTCGACCGAGCATCATGGCGCCGGTGGGAAGCTAACGGTTCACCGCTATGCCGCTATACGAGCCTGGATATAGCTCTTGCACGACGCGCACCATGCCAGCATGAGCAGTCCGCACACATGCCAAAGCTCATGACCGAAGGTGACCGAGGGCTGCAGCACTCTTCGGCAGCGCATTTTTGGAGTCCACAAACCCATCCGCCCTCCGTTCCCAGTGATAGAACGTTGCTCTGCCACTCGCGCTTTACAAAACGTGTAACAGTGCAGCATCACGCGCTTGCTGTTCGGAAGGCTCCCGACCAGGTGACCAGCTAGGACAGCTAGGTCACTAGGCAGTGGGGTGGTTAGGAATGCGCTTTGGACAGGCAGGGGGCATTTGCGGCTGCCAAGCGCATCAGACCAAAACTTGCAAACTATACACCATCGAAATAATTTCATTTGAAACTGTGCGGTGTGCCGCGGAAGCAAGACCGCCTTAGCTTTACACTTTACACTGAGCTTTACGCCCAAGCACTGATGAAGCCACGCTGAATTCCTCACTTTGACGCATGCCGGCATGCATCCCTGTATGGCAGGTTACGCAACTCCGAGAGGGTATCACGAAGTTGCCGGTCACCAAGAAAAAGGAGCGGGCCTCATGGTAAAATGGGTGCCGTTTGGCTCTCCACTGGGGCTGAGTTCATCGAGCTGTAACTCACCGAGCAGCCCCCACAGTGGCCGCTAATGCATACTGCGCACTCAAAGCTCGCAACAGATCTCCTGCAAGACTCAAAGCAGTGCTGGTTGCCGCAGCTCGAGCATCCTCCGTAGCAGGAGTTGATGGAACACCGCGCATAGCAGCCGGAGGGATCTGGATGGCTGTAGCAGGGGCTGCCACAACCATGCAGCAGGGAACCTCCTGTAGCACAGGTTCCTGCCTGCCTTGCAAGGAAGCTCACGGGTCCATCTGCCTCCTCGCCTGTGGCACCAAGGAAGAGCTTGGTGAAGTCCGGTCCAGCATCCACCAGCGAATGGGAGTCGAAGTTGAGTGCCTTGCTGCAGTCGGAGCACTTCGAGTCCAGGCACGCCAAGCAGAAGTCCGAGGAGTTGCCTGAACTGCACTCCTTTGCACAGAATCGTCGGCCGCAGTCGACTTGTGTGCCCAGGCAGGAGGCACAGGTAGATGGCACCTTCAAGCCGAGCAGGCAGTCGGACACACACGCGGCCTTGGAGTCCTTCTCTGAACATTGCTGGGCGCACGTGTGCAAGTTGTTTAGGTTGTCGGAGAGGCAGCTGCCCTCTGCCACGGCCAGAGACATGACCACTACCAAGATTCGACCGAGCATCATGGCGCCGGTGGGAAGCTAACGGTTCACCGCTATGCCGCTATACGAGCCTGGATATAGCTCTTGCACGACGCGCACCATGCCAGCATGAGCAGTCCGCACACATGCCAAAGCTCATGACCGAAGGTGACCGAAGGCTGCAGCACTCTTCGGCGGCGCATTTTTGGAGTCCACAAACCCATCCGCCCTCCGTTCCCAGTGATAGAACGTTGCTCTGCCACTCGCGCTTTACAAAACGTGTAACAGTGCAGCATCACGCGCTTGCTGTTCGGAAGGCTCCCGACCAGGTGACCAGCTAGGACAGCTAGGTCACTAGGCAGTGGGGTGGTTAGGAATGCGCTTTGGACAGGCAGGGGGCATTTGCGGCTGCCAAGCGCATCAGACCAAAACTTGCAAAACTATACACCATCGAAATAATTTCATTTGAAACTGTGCGGTGTGTCGCGGAAGCAAGACCGCCTTAGCTTTACACTTTACACTGAGCTTTACGCCCAAGCACTGATGAAGCCACGCTGAATTCCTCACTTTGACGCATGCCGGCATGCATCCCTGTATGGCAGGTTACGCAACTCCGAGAGGGTATCACGAAGTTGCCGGTCACCAAGAAAAAGGAGCGGGCCTCATGGTAAAATGGGTGCCGTTTGGCTCTCCACTGGGGCTGAGTTCATCGAGCTGTAACTCACCGAGCAGCCCCCACAGTGGCCGCTAATGCATACTGCGCACTCAAAGCTCGCAACAGATCTCCTGCAAGACTCAAAGCAGTGCTGGTTGCCGCAGCTCGAGCATCCTCCGTAGCAGGAGTTGATGGAACACCGCGCATAGCAGCCGGAGGGATCTGGATGGCTGTAGCAGGGGCTGCCACAACCATGCAGCAAGGAACCTCCTGTAGCACAGGTTCCTGCCTGCCTTGCAAGGAAGCTCACGGGTCCATCTGCCTCCTCGCCTGTGGCACCAAGGAAGAGCTTGGTGAAGTCCGGCCCAGCATCCACCAGCGAATGGGAGTCGAAGTTGAGTGCCTTGCTGCAGTCGGAGCACTTCGAGTCCAGGCACGCCAAGCAGAAGTCCGAGGAGTTGCCTGAACTGCACTCCTTTGCACAGAATCGTCGGCCGCAGTCGACTTGTGTGCCCAGGCAGGAGGCACAGGTAGATGGCACCTTCAAGCCGAGCAGGCAGTCGGACACACACGCGGCCTTGGAGTCCTTCTCTGAACATTGCTGGGCGCACGTGTGCAAGTTGTTTTGGTTGTCGGAGAGGCAGCTGCCCTCTGCCACGGCCAGAGACATGACCACTACCAAGATTCGACCGAGCATCATGGCGCCAGTGGGAAGCTAACGGTTCACCGCTATGCTGCTGTACGAGCCTGGATACAGCTGCAAGGGGCTTGCGGGCTAATTGGCAACAGCGTGCGGCGGTATGTGACGCCAACATGTACCAAAGTGCCTCACCAGCCACTCAGGGACCTCCATGTGTCAGCACACAAGCGACTCAGGCAGGCACGCTTCAGTCGAAATGTAGCCGGCCCGAGGAGGCTGTAGAGCTGCGTGTAGAACCTCTAGTTGCAGCCTCTTCCTGTGACATGCTACAATTCACTGAGTCAGAGCTTCTGCAGTGAAGTTCGGTCTCCCAGCCGGGGGCCAGGCTCACCACAAGACGCAGACAGAGTCTCAGGGTCCCCAAGACCATATCGTGTAAGCCTGGCAAGCACGTGTCTCTCCGACATCTTTGCATTGCTCCATCAACTTCTGCGCCCTTCGTCCGATAACTTCCAACGCATTCTCTTGACAGCAGCAAACCAAGCTTGGAGTCTTGGTGGGTCTTGGTGATTCGATCAGGTTCTTTCGTGATATGGTATGGTGTTAAGCTAAGGGTGCCTCGCAGACCTACTATCGCCATTGCAGAGTGGGTCGCTCGAGGATCACCCGAGGCAGGCGTTGCGATCTGAGTCCCCGACAGCAAGAGAAGGCCGCTCAAGGCCAGCACGGAAAGCTCAAGTGAGCCTGCTCTATCGCTTGGCTCCCAACATCCACTCCTAACCACCAGTCACTTGCGTAGTCCTCTACATTGAGGCTTTTTGGGCGGGTTCCTTCAAAGGGTCCCGTACTGTATAGACCGAAAAAAGGGACCCCAATCAATTTAGAGAACAATATACTATGACGTAGGGAGGTGCATGCTTCCATCAAGGTCTGGCATGCCAGGCACCTGGCCTGCGTGAAAAGCGCGCAGGTAGAAGTCGGACAACAACAGCGGCCGACCTGTTTCCCAGTGGTACGGCAGATAATTCCAAGAAGCTGCCCCACACACCGCTGCATTCTGGCTGACGACTCTCTGAGTCTGAGGCCCATATGTGGAATCACTTGAGTGGGCAAGAGCTGAAGCCTTCCGCAGGAGGCTTCCCCTGAAAGCCCTCTTGCATCACACAAGCACCGCCTCCTAACGCCACAGAATGCCCTGCAGCGTATCTCAGTGCTGAGGCTTCAGCAAGGGGCTACAGTGGACAAGGGGCACGCGGAGTCCCAGCCTCGCAAGATGGACCGCAGCAAACAGTCGAGTTTTTCTGTTGCCTTTGTGAGCGATTCGGAGGGTCTCCCATAACATCGCCGAGTCTTGGCTTCGGGCAGTCTCAACCAGGCCTCTTGAAAAAGCTTCTTGTACTCCCGGCGGTAGTGTCCAAGAGGCCTGTTGTAGGCTCAGCAAAGCAGCCATGGCGAAGAGATGCCAACATGAAAACCCTACTACCCCCATACCGCCCGACCCGAGTGTGTCCACAACGGCGAATTGCTCGGACACCCTCTGTGCCCTTCCTCTACTTTTCGCACACCGACTCGGCTGTGATGTTAGACAACTTGGCCGTCCCGGGCGAGTGCCTGCTTGTGGCCAATAAAAGCTCTCCGTGCACTTCAACCTCGCCATCCTGTGGGAGGCTAAACCGATGGGGACTTTAACAAGATTGGGGTTGCCGAAATTAGGGGTTCTTCAGCAGCAACCATGATTTCGATCAGTTGCAACGAAGTCCCCAAGCCCCCGAAACCCCACCAGAAAGCTAGTTCCCCCCAGCATCGGCTTGACAAGGATCCAATTCCTTTCGGCCTTGGGGCTTGGCTTTTTTTGGGTCCACTCTCGCGCGGGCCCAGAGAGGGCCCCAAGATGCCTTTGCTTACGGAACATGCCTGAGTTCACAATGTCGACCCATGTGGTCTTTTTTGGGGGGGGCAATTGCCTATCTTAAGGGGCCTCATACATAAAGTAACCCAAAAACCATTCCCTCACTAGGTGGCCTTGGGCTCCCGGTTTCGGCGCCTGGGCTTTCACGGGATCCGGCTCCGGCGCCTGACCCGCGGAGCTGGGGCTTGCTGTGTTTTGATAAGGGCTGCTTGATGTGGCTAAGGATCTTGGGTAGAAATAAACTGGGGCTCAGGGTATTCGGTGCAGCAGCTCAACATCAGAAGCGTTCTGCGCATCCCGGGGTCTGCTGGTCCCCTTTGCCTCTTTCAGCAGGGCGAGCAGCCTCTCAAAGAGCTCATCGGCAGTGCGGCCTCTGCAGACCCATTTCATGATTTAAGCTGATCCCCTCATATTCAACCCTCCCGCCTAATATGAAATACTCCCCACATGCTGTGTATGATGTACTGTACTGAGAGAAGCTTTATTTCAACAGGGTGAGCGGATATGCTTGAGCAAGTCCGGAAGGGTCCACACTTCCCACAGGTGCCTTTCTGGAAAGCGGCCTCCGCCTCAAGTGCGGGCTGGAGCAGCGTTCGCTTGCACTGCGCCGGGGAGATTGGAAGCATCAGCTCAGCCAGCCATTCAGCAAGGCCATTTCAGCAGGCCTACGTGGCGAGCCTGCCCTGCGCCCCCGAAAAAACAACCTTCAAAGAGCCCTCGGGCCCTGAGGCCGGCACGAAGGGCCCGTGCAGCCGCTTGCGTTTCCTGGCCGGCTCCTCAACGACAAGGCGGAGGTCCAAAGGTCTTCAGGAGGAGAGGGCGTGTGACAGCTCTCAAAGGTCTCAACAACAACGTCAATGATAGATGCCTCCTCCTTGTCCACCATGGTTGTCTCTTCTGGCACCTGCTAGAACCATCCCGTGACTGGTCCAGCATTTCTTCACGCACGATACCCATTGAGTACGCAGGCAGCCTTGCCACTGGGTTCGAGGCTGACTTTGCCCGCCTGTGAGACTCGGGCAAGCACATGTGCATGTGTGTGTGTGTCCGCACTCGGGCAGGGCTGAATCTAACCGGCCTGCTCTGCGCAACTGCGCAAGTGGCTCAAGATGTAGTGCCTAAGACAAGTCGACGCCTAGTGTAGAAGCCTACCTCACACTAACTCCTGAACTTAGACACCTTCCAGACTACAACCAGCTTGTGGCAGAGGTGTGCCGATGTCTCAAGACCCAGCCCACATCCACCAGACAAGCGCTGAGACCATGGCCGGAAGTCCACATATTCCCGCGCGTATTCTGACATCAGGCAGTCTGCCTTACACGATGTTCGGCGCATCATCAAACCCTCCGCAGCTGGCCGCTTTTGAGTGGCAGAGCCGCTGAACCGAAAGTCACCGAACCTCACCGAACCTCCAACATGAGCAAAGCAGACGCCCTGGGCCCTTGGCAACTTGGGCATTCCACCTAGCAGAAAACATCACGAAAATTATACAAAGCTCAAGATCAGTGGGTAACGGAAGGCGGGAGCTTGAAGTGTAGACATGTCAGGAACAAAGAGGACCGAATTCGAATGAAATCGCCTCGGCGCCAGAAGCAGTTCGGTAAGCAGCGTCTGGATCTGATGCTCCGGCCGGGCAAGCCTGGAGCACAGAGAATTCCGCCCCACCCCAACTAAGTTAACTGAGGCAAAATATGATGACCCCAACTAAGTTAACTGAGGCAAAATATGATGATGCAATAATGCAAACATAAAAGCATATATATATATATATTGGTGAAATGTATGGTAATTTCGAAATATAAAAGATAGTAGTATAGTAATCTAGTAATATAGCAATATAGGAATATCGTAAGATACAAAAAAGACCATATAGTAATACAGTTATAAGGCAATATAGCAATCTAGGAATATAGGCATATAGGAATATCATCATATAGCTATGTAGCAATATAGTAATGTAGCAATATATCGTCATACAGCAACAACAATAATGTATCAATATAGCCATATAGCCATATAGCAATATAGCAATATAGCAATAAAGCAATATAGCAATACTGTCAAGGCAAAAGCAAGCATCCTTATCTGGTGCTCCGTCAAGGCTATCAACGATTGACTGAAGCCACGGTTGCCGATGTAGAGTCTTCAAGGCGTCATGGTACGCCTTTGTCAAGTCTGCACGGCACGTGCCCTCCTCCAGAGTCAGGGTGATCTGAAACTCTGACATGAGAAACTGCAGCAAAGCCTGCCAATCATCGGAAGATGCAGGCGTCGGCTTGTCGACATAGCCGTTAATTTCATGGATGCCGCGGCCGAAGTCCTGCTTCCATGCTTCACACTCCTGCTCGAAGGAACAGACTCGGCAGCACAGGGGCGGTTGTGAGCCGCAGTAGGCATCAGTCTTCTGAGCCTTCATCCAGCTCAGCCGACAATCTGCATGGTAGAAGCTACGTGAGTCCACCACCCCCATCTGAGGATCTGCAACACCATCCCCATGACTCGAAACACAGCCAGGGGCGCAGGTTGCTGGGTCGCTGCCAGTGAATTCCGAGCAACAGATCCCACATTCGGCATCGGGAGCCAAGGACGCTGCGACCGGAAAGTCTTCAGGGCCGAAGTGGCGCTGCTCTGCCAAACCATGCAAGCGTTTGACCGCGCGGTGCTCCCCTGTTTCATCGACAAGCAAGAACACATCGTGCCAGTGCAGCACATCTGGACTTGCAAAGCAGCGGCTACAGTACTCTGGGCGTCCATCGAACGCGCTCTCCGGTGGCAGTACCTCGCACAGCATGCACTGAAAGCGCCGCTTGGGTGGCAAAGTGGTCAAGGAGCAGGCACAGCTCGAGCATCGGATGCAAGCGCAGTCTGGTGAGAAACAGCAGCTGGCCCCGCAAGCTGTGTGGTAGTACCCTTGCCACCGCATCATGTTCTCAGTGACGGCTCGAACTGGAAGTTTCTGCTTCCAATCTTGGAGGAGGCATGCATCCAATGCTTGGAAGCTTGCGCTTGACTCCATTCTGCGGATCGAGAAGGATCGGCCGGCTCGGGAAGTTGTTCTGCAAACTCTACTGGCCCTGTTCGCTGGGAGATGATCTTTGCCTTTGAAATGACTTGCTGTAAGCCCAGCTGCATGACATCGAACATATAGAACAACCTCTAGAACCGGACTGAAGCGGGACAAGCTTTTCGTCCTGAGGCAGCCACCCAAAAAGCCGCGCAAGCTCCTCACCTCAGCAAACAAACCGCATGAATCGCGCTGCGTTGTCTGATGTGCTTAGGGCTGCGCCGGGCATCTTGGTCGACAGGCTGACTTCCAGGGCCTTCAGGGCAGTGGCGAACCACAGGCATCGTACTGCTGCACTTTGCGAAATCGCAGTGCGAGCCATCACAGACGCGAGATGCGTTCTCCTTTTCCGAAGACAGATGGGCCCTCGCGCCAACAGTGACATCGGGCTGTTCTGCCAATGATCTCTCCACCCCCCCCAAGCCGGGATACATTTCCGAGAAACCGGAGATGTACACCGACATTGATCGGGCCTCTGCCCCTCTCCTCTCTCTCCCTTTATCTCTCCCACTCCCTCCCACTTCCTTGCAAGAGATCGTTTGATCCACCTCACTTGGGCCGGGGGATTCAAGTGCAACCTCCCTTGACTTTATTGAGCTTCCGACGTTCTCATGTCCGAGAACGTCGGCACGCTACCGGTAGAGCTGGGCACCTCGTCCCGTAGAATCGAGGCCGACAGTCGTATCGCACCTTGGAGTCTGCCAGCTCATCACCGCTCAGACAGGTTGCACCATGCTTCTGAATCCACAAGCCCCGATGCAACTTGAGTGTGCGCGTTCTGGGGCGCCCGCAAACCTGAGCGCGAGTCTGGCCAGAGGCGGCCAGCAGCAGCAAGAGCGATCGCAAGGCCTGCCAACTAAGGCTTGTGGCAGGCCTGCCCAAATTCGTTGGGGAGAAATAACTACGGAGCGCAAGCAATCGGCTAGCTACACCGCTTCTTCTCATAGGTCAGATGTGCCAGTGCCCACACAGTTCTCCGACGAGCACCGATTGCACTCGTTTACGCCTCACCGTGTTGACGAAGCCATTTCACGAGCTCCTGCTCAGCACCTGGACACCGCTGTGATGCTGAAGACTGGCTGCAAAAGTCGACTCAGTAGATGCATGCGGCTGACATGAAGGCAGGCCTCCTAATTGTGTCGGGGAATCTTGTGGATGCCTGGTGGAGTTGTCAGAACAACTGAGAAGCTGACTTTCATCAGTTTCTCCGGCAAGCTCCACCGTCAGCTTTCGGTGGTGCCTTACATGCTCTACATAGGGGCTAGTCACAAGGTGTCACTTTCCTCGGTTAAAATGGCGTCACTAGAGGGACCATGAGGGACCCTAATCTGCAACCTGCGCTTCTCCGAGTGCTGCTCGGTGTTCATGCATGTCAGGTTATCACCAGATGCGAAACAGCTGCGGGACAGCTACGAAATTATGTAGCAGCAGGCGAAGCCAAGGCCGATCAAGACTTCCACACTAGCAAATCGAGCTGGTCAAGAAAGCACATATGCAGCCAAGCTTCGCTAGAACTTTGGCCACGCTGGACAGTGACGCGGCCACAAGGCCTTGGTTTTGCTGCTGAGAGCTGTGGGGCATTGATTCTCCTTCATGCCCCTCCCAGCAAGCGCTGTGACTGTAGGGATTTGCGTTGGAACGCGAAGGAGAGTCGGAACGGTAAATAGGCATGCGTCTCAATGTCGCAGGGAGGCTATCAGTGTCAAATGTGTCATTCATGCTCTGACCAAGTTTACCTGCTGTAACTGCAGAGACAACGCCTGTAGCATCTGCCGAGTCACGAAGGTCTTCCGACTCGCACAAGGCAAAGAGGTCCGAGATCTGATGATCCCACACAGGCACATGTGCTTGGCCATGACGCACGCTACACACGAATGCAAAGGACTTGCAAGGTTGGCCCTTTGCTGGGCGGGCCTCGTTGAGATGCTGGCGCCCAGAGGGCCCCAGCAAGCGCTGCCTGGGAAGCACCCTCACGCAACAAACTACGGGCACTTCTTCCACCGGGCAACAAGTAAAGCCTATCAGGACCTATCACATACTTGCAGAGAGCAATCTGCACATGACAGGTGGCAAGAAAGCAGATTCAATTCCGAACCGGGCGATGGGCTCGAGCCGAGCTCTCTGATCCATGGCCGACAATCGAGATTCATGTGCCAATCACTGCCAAACACTTTGTGAAGCATGCTCGCAGACCAATGTTCTTAGGAATAGAAGAGACCTCCCTAAACCCTAAACTTAAACCCTACGAAATTCCTGATCAAGGCAAGTCCATTTGCAAGAGCCGTCGCAAGTGCTTGAGCCACTCGGCTGGTGTCGCAGCGGGCCTAGTTTGGCTTCAAGAGTCAGGGCTCAAGTTTACCTGAAAGCTTCGGGACGTGCGGAACTCCTCCATCACCCTCCCAAGTTCCTTGGCGCTCCTTTTGCTTCTAAATTCTAAAGCGAAAAAAGAGGAGCGCAGCTTCTAGTGGGACCGGAACAGGAAGACCGTCTCTGGCCTTTGTCCTACACATCCCCTGGCTGTATCGTAATAAGAATAGATGCGAGGCGTGCACGGCGGCTCACTGTAGGGTTGAACTTCCTGGCAATCGTTACGTCTACGTCAAACCGAGCCTCCGCGCAGCCCAATAGAGCCCAATAGAGACGTGACGCAGGAAAGGCCGGTGCCGGATCTTAGCCCTGAGGCATTTCATGTCCTTTACCCTTATTGTGGCCCCTTGCTACTTACCTTCTCTCGCCTCCTCTTGTCTCATCTTGGGACCTGGGGATGCGGCACGGGCTCTCCTGACAGAGTGCCGTCGGAGAGGCTGCATGCGGGGCAATGCCGGAAAGGTGCCACTCCTTGCAGAGCTGAGAACTTCAGGCCTGGCCCGGCGGCCGCGGGATCTCCTACGTCCTCGCGGGATCGCGAGCCTCTCCAACATGTTTCCGACGATTCGCTGCAGCTGCTTGGGTCCTTCTCGGACGCCCCCAAAGGCAAGCTCAAGCTTCTTACTTGAAGTGTCTGAAAAAGCTAGACAACACGATGGCTGCTTTGCTGCAGCAAGCACAGGAAGTGCATTCAAAATTGATATGCCCAGGCCACGCAAAAGAAACCTCTGTGGTATGTTGGCCGCTGCCCAGGGTCAAGATGAGTCAACGACCACTTAAAACAAGACTGAAAGGAAGCTGCGCTTGACCGCCTTACTGATGAATGTACATGCCGTCTCGTAGAGCAGCGGGTCGAGTACCCCAAACCTCACGGGAGCGTGGAACTTGTGAGCTGCGACGCATTCTTTGCGCCCCTGGCAAGCTCCAGCTAGGAGGGTGTTTACGGCATGGCTGCCAAAGTGGCAGAGGCGACAGTAGCCGCTGGCAGAGCCGTGCTCTCTACAGCCAGTCTGCCCAAGTCACCAATCGCAATGCTGTCTGAATTATGTGGCCTTGCCAGAACGTCCGCAGTGTCGCGCCACGAGCAGCAAGTGTGAGTTGACTCAAGTCACCTCACCTGACGATGAGGAAGTTTTATCATAGCACTCAACTCTCAAAGCTTAGACCATTGCTTGCTAAGAGTGCTGGCTCTTCCCCTCCCCCGGTCCATCCCTTTCCTTTTCTCCCAACATCTTGCCTCAAGGACGTGGCCGACAGCCACGGTCGTCTCCTCCAGGCGGAGCATCAAGAGGCCCAGGCCTGACATCAACGCTTGGTCCTGCTTTCTGCTGCTTTTGTTCCTGTCCTCACACAGCCCCCTTAGATTTCGGGTATCTTATAGTAGGGACCTGGGGATGTGAGAGAACGACCACCGCCCCCAACCTCCCCCCCCTTCTGCGCCAAGGTGCGGCTGCAGTGGGCATCGGAGACGCTGCAAACGGGCACCTGGCGTGCCAAAGCAGAGCTCCGGCAAGGACTCTTTGTAAGGGAAGCCTGCAATCTGGGGTCCTATATTAGGGGTGCCTTATGCTCGTAAACCCCCATATGTATACTTATGCCTTGCATACTGGGACTCTCATTAAGGGGCTCCCTCCCCCTTATTGCGGGATTCGAGATCCTCTTCTTGTGCTTCCCATCTCTTAGATTCGCGCAACACCTGACACCCAGCATTGCGCTAACGCGTGCTAACCGTGAACCGTAAACCCAAACCCCGTGACATCCGTGGCAACCTTCGCTCCCAGAGCCTGCCGGGAGAACTTCAGCACGACAGTCAGCCGCTGTCCCGCCTGCGCTACACAATGACCCCTTCGCATGCTCAAGCACATGACTAGTTCCCGAAGTTCTGGTTCCATTTGAGGTACTGTACCCTACATCTGAAGGGCAGTCTTGAACAGAAAGTCAAACGCGGATCAGAACTTGAAGAACTGCCACATAGCTACCACAGCGGCAAGCCCTGTCATGTTCATCGCTTGACTGATGGCCGTCTTCTAGCAAGACTTCAGAACAGAACAGGCCTTGACAATCTTCGGTCTTTCCGTTGTCACCCCGGTCGCCCAATCTGTGGCATCCTGCTGAACGGAAGAACATTGCTGGAATCAGGAAGTGGTCTGGAGCTTCAATCACTACAGAGGAGAGGTTGTGGGCATGCTTCAGAAGTGCTTTGTTCTATGGCAGTTTGTGACCTGCTGGCCTTAAAGCACTGCCGATTGTCAGCCACCTGGCCCGATTTTAATCACCCGGAAGTACCACACACGTGCAGCAGTCAGCATCTCGGAGGACAGTCCAGGATCTCTTCAATCTCGGCATCCACCGTCGCAGCATGCACCTTTGGAAGAGCTGGTTCTAGGCAGAGCAGGGCCCAGGAAAGCCTACTGTAACCTCACCGCCAAGTCTGAAGCCAACATACCAGAACGGCAAACCCGAAAAGCACCAAGAAGAAAAGGCCTCACTCCCTGCAAACGTCTGCGAAACCTCATAACATCCCCTTCAAGCACGAAACAACGGAGGTCCTGAGGTCCAGGCATGCAAGACCGCCTTGAAGCCAGCAGTCATTGGCCGTGGCAGCTCCAAGACCTCCAAGTAGGCCTTGACCGTCTCCGATACCTGAGCTCTGCTTTTCTCTTCGTTTGCAACACTTGGAACGCTGGACCGCTGGACCGCGCGCCTCTACAGGCGACTCAGCGGAGCCCAGTACTGCGCCACACCAGCCGATGGTCGAAGCACCTCTCAAGAAAGGCGCTTGGCTCCAAGTCGGGGGCGTGCCCGAGACATCCCGCCAACGCAATGCAATTTACTTGAGACTTTGAACACGAACGCAAGAAACGAAATATGTCAGATACAACAGTAAGACAAACAGAGGCAGCTCCGGCGCTTCCCACTGCTGGCCAGTCAGGGAAAGGTCCACCCGAGAGTTGAAGCTCCACATTCTGCCCACTCTTGGCCTCCGGGGCAGGACGCTCACACAACGCTCACACAACGCTCACACAACGCTCACATCCGCGCGCGAGCAACGGCATCCGAATTGTGTGCATCACAGCGCCACCTCCTGCAAATCCACCACGTTGCGAGATGCAGCCATGCGGAGCACCTGTCAAAAGTGTTCTCAAAAGCCCGGTTGAAATTGCCAGGCTCCTGCGCTTTGAGAGCTGCGCTTTGCCAGGCTCGGCCCGGCCTCCACGGTGCACGGAGCAGAGCCAGGCGCCAAGAGGCAGCGCTCGCCCGGCCGCAGCGTGCCTGAAGCGGGAAACAAAGGCTCAGCCAATGACAGACACCATTGGACGAATGAGACAGTGCTCACATGCCCACAGTCTGTTCACTGTTTCGGCAGCGCAGTGCCGTTGATACTCCCCCCGCTGTCCACCAAACTCCGCCGCTGCTCCGCGCCTTGTTCCACGCGCCCTCGCACGCGCACCGCGCCCTTCGCAGCAGGCGTGGACTCGAAGACCAGAACCTGCAGCGCGCCCGGCCTTGCACACGCAAAAGACAGCAGAGGGGGACTGGTTCGCCACGCCTCATGCTACAGTGACCGCTTGCTGAAGTGTTTGCCAAGTCGCCGTGGCACAGAGCTGCTGGCCATGTCGTCCAGGCATTGGAGGAGTGAACTGCCCGTGTGCCAGGAGGCCTTTCGAAGCAGCACACAAAGCCTAAGCCTAAGCAATCTCACCACTGCGATACCTGAACTGCCACGTGCATGCTGTCCGCTTTGCCATGCATCTGCTTTGGGTGTGTTTTGGTGCAAGCCACACTAGCAACGCTGGTAACATGTCGAGCCTTCCTGCCATCCACTTGGTTCGTGAGGCCATCCACTGGAACAAATACTGTGGCCGCCTGGCTGAAACCTGCGAACTTGCACATCAGAACAAGGATGCGAGAAAGACATACAAAAGACATCGGAGAGGAGCGGTCTGCTGTTGGGAATGGCAGAGGCCTGCATTCGTCAGAACCGGAGTCAGCGTGGCAATCACCTCGTCGAAGCGATCCTTCAGTGGCGCCACAACGCTACGGAACCCCCGGGGTTGCACGGAAGGAAACAAGGAAACCATCAGCATGCTGCCATTTCGCTTGCCCCGCCTGTGCCCAGCTAACTTCGTCCATCTTTGTCACGGCAACAGCCAGACGTCCATCCTGCAATGGAGCTGCACATATACACCCCAAGTATACCTTAAGCCAGCAGTGTTGCGCAGATCGCACGCCGAAAAGGCTGGCCAGCCTTGGCGGCGGTGCCGAGGCCACGCGCGGCCCGCAGCTGCTCCGCCAGCGTCGAGGGGCCACCTCCGGCCTGGGAGATCAGAACCGCCGTCGGGCTCCGATAAGATCCTCACTTGAGCTGAAGCCCCCAATTCTTCTTTCTTCTTGCCTCCTTCAGCGCCGCCTCCAGCTCCCGGCCCTTGGCAGACACCACCAGCAGGGCCACGTCGGCCTGCGCCGCACATCTACACTGTCGGAGCAGCAATGCAACCGCCCGCAAAATTCGGGTCCCCGCCTCTGCCGCAGCTGCCACTGCCTGCGGCAGGGACCGGCGGCCTCACGATGTAGCGAGATGCAGCGCCCGCGCACGTCTCTGCACGTCTGGGCGCGGACCGCGACTTTGATCATGGAACATGCGGACGGCACGCTGCGGGAGCCTCCTGGCACATCGAGCAACGCCAGCTCGGCGCCCTTGGGGGTCCGAAGGCCGTCCTGCCACAAAGTCTGCACGCTGCTTTACACTTAACACCAGCGCAGCGGTCCCAGGAATCGAAAGCCACAGCGACTCCTCACGCTGCGACTCATCCTTCAGGCGCTCCGCCTCCTTGCACTCTGCGAACATGACCGGGGGGTCTGCTGGGGAGATGTGGCCTGTGGTGGCCTTCTCATTTTCGCGGGGCTTTGCTCGTGCAAAAGCAGCGTTCCCGCCTTCCGGCGCTTGGCCAGGTCGCGCTCACTCACCGCACCCGTCGCAAGAAGCAGCGCCCCCACCAGCATGGACTTCCCAGCACCTGTGTTCACACCAATGTTCACATGTGCATTCCAGTGTTCAATAGTACCCCATGCCAGGTGTCACCCCTGCCAAGGTACCATGGTGGCCAAGAACAGCCACCGTGACATGCGCCGTGGGCGGCTTCGCGTCCCTTGCGACAGCCTGTGTCAGAGCCAAGTCAGAAACAAGGGGCACGCGAAAAGAGTCGAAGGGCGGGTAAGGCAAGGGCCCTTAACTTCAGCCAAAAACACATCAAACCCAGAACACTCCACTTGCTTCCGACAAACCTGTTTTTGTTCCGGACTCTGTCTGTGCTTGCTCCTGACTTGCACTGAGTATGCGCTGCGGCCAAAACTCTTCCGACCAGACAGCGGTCTTGCTATTTCGTGCTAGAGTTCAGTGCTCACGGCAATTTGCGATGTGAAACTCGCATCAGATGGGTCAGATGTCTTAGACATCATGGGCGACAACGAACGAATCACGCATACAAATTGTTTACTCTTTTATCACTCCTTTTAACAGAATATTAATGGGGCCTATTTTGTAATAATATTTTGTGTAAGGCCCCAACAATTGTATTATAATTATAAGGGCAAAAACGAGAACTCTTATTTAATAAGGCTTAATTATGAATAGAATTACAAGAACTTGAAATCCAAAGAATTACATTATAAATTTAAAGAACTTGGAAATGCCAACAATAAACTTACTGCCTTTGCCGGCATTATTTCGGCAATTTCATGAAGATAACACGGGCGTTTCAATCACAAAAACAACTCTTGCATTTGGATTTCATGTTTCGTTCTTTCGAGCGCCCGTGAAATACAATTAATAAAGTAGCATGTGGGCGCTCATTAGTTTCATTTTCTATCTTCTGTTTCGTTCTTAATATTACTACGGGCTTCATTTCTGGCGTTACCAACCTAGGAAATTGCAGAGGCAGAGAGATGGGTTGGAGGGGCAAAGGTCTTAAGGCTGCCAAAATCTCTTCTGCGGGCCTCTGCTGCGAGCGCAGCCGCTGCAGAGGGCGGGAGCCCCGCAGCTGCGGCTTTCTTGGCACGCTCCTTGGTGTTTAACACCCAGAATTCACCTTTTGGGGTAGCCATAATTATCATAGTTCACCTTTTGGGGTAGCATGCCAGGCTGTCTGCGGAAAGTGCCGCTGAGCTTCTGCCTTCTCCTTGATCTCTTTCCTGCACAAGGAAGAGTCTTCATCAGGAAAGCCGCGCGCTGCCTTTTTGTTCATGTGTCACTGCTACGCATAGCTTCTTGCACACGTTGCTGTCTCCTCCTTTGCTCCGCTCGCCGTCTCCGCTCTTCCATCTCCATCTGAGGCAAAGCACCAAGCGGGTCTGGCTCAGTTTTGTGGGCTTCCAAGCGGATTGAGAAGGCTTCAGGGTTTGGCGGGCGACCTCGCAAATCCTAGTTGGCCGCACCTTCTGTCACGTGACCCTCTGCAAGTTCAAAGACTCAGCTCTTCTCAACACTGCTGGACGCACCTGTTGACGGCGAAGCGTCTCCTGCAGGTACCGGAACCCAGCCCTCGAGATTCTCCCTGTAAGCCTCCCTCAACATCCCTCAACAATCAACCCCTAAAACATCCTGATACCATACTTCCTTCGAAGCCCAAGAAAGCCTTTGACCGAACTAATTCTAAACAAGTGCGAATGCTGGGTCCTCCGCTGTTTCCTTCTGCCGTGCAGCCACCAACAAGGCCTCACCTTTCAAGACTTTTTTGGATTCTTTGGGATGTTTGGATTGGAGGTAATCTCAGGCAATCTTAGGCACTCTTAGGCAATCTTGGGGAAGAGGTGGTTCAAGATCTCGGGAATTGATGGGCTTGCAGAGGAGGGGTTTGTCGCCACTGTAAGAGAGGAAGGCTCTGATACAAAGCCTACGTCGCCTGAGCAGTTGAGCTGCAACTATCTTGGCCAAGGCTCGATGCTCGGCTTCCTCCCGCCGCCTTTGCTCGTCAGCCGCGCGTCTCGCTTCGTCCTGGCAGCCCCAATGCACATCTCGTTTCCTCTCTGTCGCGGCCTTTGAGACTCAGTTCTAGGGTTTAGGGTTTAGGGTTTAGGGTTTAGGGTTTAGGGTTTAGGGTTTAGGGTTTGTGGTTTAGGGTTTAGGTTTAGGGTTTAGGGTTTAGGCTTTAGGCTGTAGGGCTTCCGGGTTTTAAGGTTCACAGGCTTGGAACACAACGCAAAAACAAGGGCGCCTCCTGTCGTCGCTGAGCCTCAGCCGCTGCCTCAGCCTCCAGCTCTAGATGCCAGGCGGTCCAAGTGTACTTCTGCCAAACTGCAGGTGCTGAGACTGCGAGCTACACTTCTGACGGCCACAAATACACCCTATAAATAATGTTGTAGAATAAATGCATTTCCATATATAGATATACATGTAACATACATGTATATGTATCATATAGATACCAGTGTCCATATACATATACGGAAACATTTACAAAAACATGAACATAAACATATTCTTGTTGTGGTGACAATGGCTGTTGTGCGTCCTATGCGTTCCAACTTATTTCTCGGCGGATTGTCCGTCCTCAACTTCCAAGGGGCGGGGGGGGGCGCAAGAACAAAGCTCTCCAGCCCAAATCGTCAGGGGGGGGGGGGGGGGGGGCGGTTGTGGGTGTGCAGAACGCTCAGCAAAAGGATCGCGTGCAGGTTACGGCAAGCATTCCGAAGGCGACCAAAAAATTGTCCGCGGAATGCTGTCGCGAAGCAGGTGCGGAATCGCATCTGGAAGTACGAGCGACAACGGTTTTCGATGCAGCGCAAGCGACGTGTTGCCTTGCAGGCCTTGTGCATATTAATATGTCATGTCATACACCTTCGGGCGTTGCCGACAGAACTTTTGAGCAACGAATGCGCATTTTCCACAGGCGTTGGCACATTCCACTTTTGCTGCAATGCCAACAAACGCAAGTCACGTACTAGGCCCTGTTACTAGTCGTCGCTACCATGGATGTAGTTGCATGGCCAATGCTGTGCCATGCCAAGCCTAAGCTTCCGGTACACTCATGCCAACGCTGCTCCACCACGGAAGGCCTTCTCCCGCTCCTTCCGCTCGCGCTTCTCGCGTTCCTTGCGCTCTTTCTCTTTCCTGAGGCAAAGGGCAACAGCTTTGGACACCACGCCATGACGTGCACAACATTCCTAAGCTTCGCGCGAAGCCTATCGAAGCCTCTCTTGCAGCCAAGGCACTGCCTCTTTTCCTCCTCAGCAGCACGCTGGGCCTCCTCGAGTTCCTTCTTCGCCGCCTCCTGGCTCGGCACATTCTGTTTAACATTACCCCTACAATCTCAGGGAGTGGTCTCTCTTTGGTCGCCCTTTTTTCGCAAGCAAAAATGGCTGATTCAGCGAAGCTGTTCTTGCTTTTGACTTGAAGCCTTAACCCTGGCTTTCAACGGAACCGTGGAGCAGCGACACCCCATCGCCCGCTCTCAAGGTCAGATAGTAAGTATCGGAACAGACAAGAAGGTAGACAGCGCAAATTGCACAACCTCTTGTTCATTCCCACGCTCAACCGCTTCCTGCCGTATCACACGAACCACATCACTAAACGTATAGCCATCATCTCCAGAACTTTCTTGGTTCACACCACCGAAATGTTGTGCAAGCATCCACGCGCACTTAAGGTGGATAACTCGCCGCCGCCCACATCACCCCCAAAAGTAGCAAAGGTCCTCAGGGGGTCACATCAAAATGACAGCAGAATTGGCACCGTCCGACCAAGACTGACGAGGCCACTAAGGACTAAGGCAGATCTACGGCATCATCCGAGCCAACGAAAGGCAGGAAAACCGGTGTTCCCCATAGGGGCAACACCCATTAGCGCCATCCAAGCGACGGCGGCGGTAGTGCCAAATGTCGCACACCACCAAGAGTGCAGCAAAATGAGAAAGCCTCCCCAACTCAGTTCACGCCAGCTAGCAGATCAACCAGGGCGTGAGCATCACCGCAGCACTGCGGCAACCAAAGGTCAGTCTAATTTGCTCCCAAAACACTGCACAACTTAGGCGGCGCAGACTGGGGAAATGTCGATTATGACCAGGTAATTTCACGCCACAGGGTCCGCATCTGCCCAAACTCACCTTGGCCCATTCTCGGAAGGCACTCTCAGCCTCATAGTCCCCTGCTTTCGGCACACCCTTCCACCAATGCTCGAAATTGCTTCATGCTGTGCCTGCACGGACCTGCAAAAGCCTTAAAGCGGCCGCTGCAAAGCTGGTACTGCTGGACCGGATGCTCTGTATACTGTCGCATCTGAACTATGGAAGCAAAGGAAGCAGCAGACCTTCAATCAGATGCTCCAATCCCGTCTAGACGCTGACCCTATACAAACCTTGGAACATCCGAAACATACCCCTAAACCCTCCACATCCCCAGTCCCCCTTGAATTCGCCCCCTCCATCCCTTCACCACACAGTTTTCCTCTTCGGCACGGCGGCGCCGCCGCGCCTCACGGAGCTTGGCGTCCTCCAGATCAAGGGGATCAGGGCTCGCAGATCTTGGCATCATGTTCTCAGCGACATGAAAAAAATGTGTAAGAGGTTTTGCGGCTCAGGCAAAGATGTGCCGCGAGTGGTTTGCCAGCGAAACCTCTCACTCCTCACCTCCTCAGCGTCTCGCTGTGCACGGCGTTGGCGGCGAAGCTCCTCTTCCGAAGCAATGATGGCTGAACTTGCTGATATCTTCTGGGGGGTTCGACGGCTGTGGTCACAAACGAAGGCCACAGCCACCGGCTGTGTTGGGAAAGCTTGTCAGGTGCGCTGTGCCTTCTGAGCATCGTCGTCCTTTCCTGCAGGCAGCTCCAGCGAGAATGTTGCATGGCACCCTTGGCACCCTTTCAGATGGACATTCTTTCAAGCAGCCTCCGTTCTCGCTGGGCTCACTGTTGCCAGCTCTTGGAGCATTCTTGCCTGCCTGGGAGGAGCTCAAGGAACCGAAGAATGGGCTCATGGGCTCCCATCGAAAGAAGAAGACGGTAGCTCCGGCCTCCTGTTCAGCCAGCTGCTGGAGTTCCCACTCCTTTCGCCGAGCTTCCTCCTTGAAGGGTAGTGCGTCACTTTGTGCTTTATTGGGCACAGATGCGCAACGATGTAAAACCCCTGAGGTCAACAAAGGAAGCCAAGAGCAAGAAACGGATTAAGAGAGTTGCAAGAGGCGTCGGAACATATGGTTTCTTGCTCGTGCCATTTGAGCAGCAATATTGGATGGAAGTCTCTGAGACTCACAGAAGTTGGTTGCCGCGTCACAGCACTCCTGCGCCTCTTTCACCTCCTGCTCCTCTTTCAGCTTGCCTTTGCGCACTCAGTGCAGCGCGATTTTGACTCGTGGCCATTATGAAAGCAGGGCCCAGTATGCAAGAGGCTCTCATAGGTCTGACCATGCTATCAGTGCTAGTGTATTACCTGGTGGCCGGGAGGCGCTGCTTAGCTCAGGAGCCAACGTATCTTCAGCTCAAGGCGGCGACGCTCCAGGCGGCGCTCGGCCTGGGTTTCGGGGTGGTTCAGGTGCTGGGCTTCGATGGCCTTCCAGGAAACGAAGCTAGGAAATGCACGTGCAAGTCAAGAACTCGAACCCTTTGGCTGACCGACTAGGACAAACAGAACCCACTCCTCAATGTAACACCGAAACTGCTTGCAGGCTGCCTCGCGCCGGCGCTCCTCCTCTTCGTCCTGCCGCCGCTGCTTTTGCGCCTCGCGGACAGCTGCCTGCCAGAACCATACAGCACCACAAAGCGACAATCCGAGAGAGAGAGAGAGACGCAACAGAGCGGCACTACAGCAGAAGAGAATCAGACGCACGACTCCCAACCACGCACAAGTGCTACTCCGAATGATATGAATGATTGAACTTCGCCCCTCACACATCCGACGCCCTTCACCCACGGAGCCTGCGCACGCTTCGCCGCCTCGCGCACTACCCGTCCCGGGCTCGGTGCCTGAGAGATGTCACTCTAAGTGAGCTTGCGCACACCCCTTCGCATCATGTTCGCCGTGAGCATACGTGGTCAGAGTGAAACGTTGTAAACCTGGCGTCGTAGAGGCTTCACGCACCATCACATGAAATGCATGAGGCACGAATGCTCAGCGCACAACCTTCAACCAGAACTGCTCCGAAACACTCATCCCTGCCTGCACCTCCCCCATTTCTTCAGGCTCAAGTGGTGGGAGGTCCTCCTGCACGATGGCAAAGCAATCCTTTCCTTAAGCTTCTGCTTCAACGCTCCCCGGATGTCCTCCTCACAACTCGCCGCCGTGCGCTGGTAGGGCTTGGTGAGACGCACGTTCAAAGCCTCGGCCCGGGCTCACGACACGGATCTTCCGGGCGCTGTGTCTCCGAAGTAACGGTGAATGCTGTGTCGGCCCTGTCGGCTGCCCCCTGCAGTCGACTGATGGAACCACTTTGCAACGACAGAATGACAACAACACGGACCTGGGAAAGCACCTGCCAACCCCCCGCCCCCAAAAAGAAGGCACCACCGATGAGCACCCCGGCGCGCATTGTGCTCATGTGCACCTCCTCGAGGCTCCGGACGTAGTATCCGCCAGGCATGGTCTTTCCCTGCCTGCATCGCGGAGGGACGCGGGAGGAGGGAGGTGGGAGGAGGGAGGAGAGAGGAGGAAGGAGGGTAGAGGAAGCCGCGGAAATCATGTGTGCTTTCCCTGCAGCCGAGTGGCGGCTTCTGCGTATAAGACTCATCTTCAGGAGCATCTTCACATTCCTGCGAGAATTAGGGGCGACCGTTTTGCGGATGCACTTGGTTCAGTCGCAGAAAGAACATGCCAGGAAGCGTCAGGACAACCAGAGCAGCGTTCGCGCTCGCCAGCCAATTGCCGATCCTTCTCATGGTCTTTCTGGAGATCTTGCTTTTTCAGGTCTGCAACCTGGTCTGGGCAGCTGACTCGCGTGCTGCCTGGGGCCCCGATTTTCCCTTGAGGCCCCGACCTCTGGGGTAGGCACCGTCTGCTGCACTTCCCAGCTGGGCTCTGTGGTGGAGCGGGCATGGGCACCGCCCTGTGGCGGCCGCGACGCCTTCCGGCTCTGGGCTCGCCTGCAGGGCTGTGAAGCTAAAGAGCTGTCAAAGACCTACCTTGGTAGAGAAGCACATGAAATGCTGAAGCGATCCGGAAAGTATGCATGCACATGTACGATCCATGTAAGTGCACATGTACAGAAATGACGGCAATCCATGGCCGCGCGCCTCTTGTTCCTCTCGCGCCACTTTGCGGGGTTCTTTCGCCTGCAGAGCGCCCGGCTTGTCACTTCAAATGCAAACAACCTCACTTCTAAGGGCTCGGCACTGCCGCATCCACAACAATGGGCTTCTGCTCGGAGAACTGTGGCACTTCGATGTCTTCAAAAGTCATGGCGCCAGCTACATTCTCTGTTCCGAGTGCTGATAGCGCGGAAGCTTTGCATGCTTAGGATGAAACAAAATCTTGGTCTCATTCCACTTGGCATGTACAAATTGAAAGTAGCAGTGTGCCACAACATCAGCAGGCCCACAGGCCTCGCTCCCTATCTTTTCCTGCGTGGCTCGAGAAATCCCACCCTGCAGACCGAGTTCAGTCCTGCACAAGCTCAGAACCTCATGTGAAACGTGTGTCATGCTTCAAACTCATATCCCTAATACTTCTTTGAGGTTTCTGGGCTCAATATCATCGTACGGCATAGGATCTAAATCGAACCAGGGATAATGAGAAGAAGCGGCAAATGCCTTCAAGGCACCGACGAAGAAGTTCTCTTGATCCTTAAGCTTCTGCTGTAACTGTCGCTTCGTCAGTTTCTTGCCTGCTGTGAAAGACGGGTCATGAACCACACTCCACCGTTGACCTCTAGCTAAGAACTCTAAGAAACCCCTACGGGCCCCCGCATTGTCCTTAGTCAAACCATCGGCTAACTGAGCAGTCCCGTTAACCCACCTAAGCTGGGTCCCTAAGGCAACCGCTTGTTGAACCGATACAGTAAGTTCAAAACCCGCCCTCGAGGATCGCAGGCCATGCAAGGCCGATACATTTCTTGTCATGGCATCAAAAATGCCCTTGCTATCCATCACTAGGCCTCCCGAAGTGTGCTGCTTCAGCTCTTCGGCAAGCGTGTATCTCGAAATCTCGCCACCGTGGATTTCATACCACATGGCTCGCAAGAGAAACACTTCATCTTCGCCTATGGTAATCGCTTGGACTTCACTGCCGTTGGAGCCTAGACTCTCACGCGGGCACTTAGAGCTGCGCCACGCCACCAGCGCCAGCGACACCTCCTCGCCTTCCAGGATCGCCCGTGGACCCATGCAGCCAACGAAAGCCACTGTCGAGGATTTGTTCGGACGATTAGCCTGGCTAGCGTCGGCCCACACCATTGCACTGATGGACTGCCATGGCTGTCCCCAGCATGGGAACAGAATCCTCTGAGAAGCTGTTCGACGAACTTCCCGCACCAGCTTGTTGACACTGACCAGGGTGTTCACTGTGGCCATGGGCACCTCGCTCAACTTCAGCGACACTTCCGCCTGAAACTGTGGACCAGTCTGTGAGGCCTTCCACGACAGAGTCCCAAGAGCTGCTCGAAGGTCGCCAATTTCTTTGGGAGTCGCCTTAGACTTAAGTTGCTTGGCTCTCTGGTGGTCTAGCGGGATCTCCTGCACCCAGTCGTTGACGTACTCTTCCTGATCCAGCTGAATGCCAGCCTCCGTCTGTCTGACACGACAGCCTGCAAAGGTGAAGCCTTCTCCAGTCGCCTGCTCCCATTTTCCAAAACGGAAGCGCTCCTGCAACGCTTTCTTCGAGTCCAGGTACAGCTTGTTGCCAGGAAGCCCTGCCAGGAGAAAATCGTCGACGTGCAGGCCTGCCAGCGCGCACAGTCGGCCTGAGCCGTCCCGCAAGGCAAACAAACAACGATCTGCACGAAGTTGCTGCCATCCGGTCTCCCGGAGCGCTTTCAGAACCGTTTCGTGCCACTTTCGTGGCGCGTGCGCTAAGCCATAGAAGGCCTTCGTCAGCTTCATTGCCATTCCGCTATCTGCTGGATCTGCTCCAAACATGGCCGCCAATTCAATTGGCGCCCAAACCACCAAGTTTTCCTTCTCCAGGCTTTCGAAGGTTTGAAGAAACGCCGATGTGACGTCTCCAGTTTCCAGGATCATGCCACTGTTTGCCGCCGCAGTGAGTAGCATGTTCCTGCCAGTACAAGACAATGTCGGTGCTGCTGTCTCGACCTCCAGCAAGTTGTGGGCCTGATACCCCAAAACCACCAACCTGGCTTTTGGAGCACCACTCGCCTTTCTCGTCAAGACCCACCTCATGTTCATTATCTTGTTGTAGTCCAGGTCGCAGATCTCCTGGGCTGTCAAAGCTCTGGCAGCTCGCTCGCGGATTACGTTGCTCACCTCTATGGACATGGCTTCGTCGTACTCCTCCTTCTGAGGTTGCGTCAACGACCTCCAGTGTACTTCTCTGCTCTTTTCTATCATCTTTTGCGATAACCAAGCGGTAGCTTTTCGAGGCCGTTTCGTGATTTTCTTGAGGTCCCGCTCAGTGAGGCTAATCTCACAAGCGTAGCACGCATACTTCTCAGGCGGCACCGAATAGTGGGCTTGCTCTGTCTGAGGAACGTCTGGTCGTAGCTCCTCGTCGCTGCTCTCCTCGTCGGTGGTGGAGTACGGGGCCGCGCTAGCATGCTCCTCTTCCAGGAAGTCTGGTTGCGCGGGTAAAACTCCTTGAAGTGTACCTTGAGGAGGAACCGGAGTTTCCGGCTCGGCCTCAGGTGCCTCCTCGGCTAGGACTTGGGACCTCAGCGCAGGTTGCGGCACTGGGATCTCAGCCATATCCTGGTCGGGCGGCAACTCGCTGCGCCGCTCTTTCTTCACAGGGGGGCCAGACACCGAAGAAGATGAGGCTTCTAAGCCTCGCCGTGCGCCGGCTGCAGGACCTCGTTGTTCTGGAGGAGAACTTGGTTGTTCAGGACGTGACTCTCTTACTTCTGGAAGGGAACCTCGTTGTTGCGGGGCTCTTTGCTCAATTTCTTCCGGCAGCGTCCGCCCAGCTCGCTCGAACTGAGTTTCGCCGCACCATCGCTCCATCAGGGACCGGCGTGGCCTCTCTTCAGTCTTGTAGTTGTCGAGGACGATATTGGCACCTCCGGGCCTCTGTAGGACCGTTCTTCTCCTCCCAGACAGACCTACATCCGGCACCGGGCAGTCTTTGGTGCGATCAGGAGTGAACAAGGACAACCTAGGAACCAGATGTTTGCGAATCACCATCGTCTCAGTGACCACCCAACGGTCCTTTTCTCCTCCAACACGAGGAGCCTCGGGCTCCACCAGGCGGTCGGCAGGACTCAGATCTTCCTCAATCTCCAAGCCGGGGTTCTCTGAGGTGGCATCCAGGAAATGCTTGCCTCGGTATCCACGAAGAAGAATCTCCAGCCCGACTGCGTTCTGGTACACGGTGGTTCCTTGGGTAGAGGAAACGAGCTTCTCGCGTTCTGTGGTTGGCCTAACTTGGTTCAGCTTGGCTCTAACGAGTGTGGTTCCGGTGGCTAGCCAAACAGTGGTGCCTTCTTGCAAAAGCACTCGAAGCGGACCAGTCCATCCACCTCGTTGACGATTCATGCGAGCACGCCACAGCATGCACAAATCACCGGCCTGATATCTCTGCACTGGCCTTGCCACCGAATTTGACAGCTTGGACAACTTGATTCCCGCGTCTGCTTTGAGAAATGCTGCTTCCGCCGTGGCCCTGTGCGCTAGGACTTTGCTGAAGGCTTTTCTTGGATCTAGCCCAACCGGAGGAGCATCTTCACGCTGCCATCCTCTCGCCCACTGAAATGGACTATATCCTGTCGCCGAGTGCACAAAGGAGTTGTGGCCATGTGCAGCCAAGGTAAAAAGAGCTCCAATGTCCAAGTTGAGCTCTTCCAGCTCCAGCTTCTCCACCGTCCGCTTCATCACTTGAATTGCTCGCTCTTCGACGCCCATCAAGTAGTGAGCTTCAGCGGGCGCTGTCATCAGCCCTAGGCCGCTGCGGGAGGCGAAGTCGATCATCTCCCTGCTGGTGAAGTAAGCTGCCGCATCCGTGTACAGCCACCTTGGGCTCGGGTTCGCCGCCATCCATGTCTTGACCACGGCTCGCTTGATGTCAGCTGTGCTTGGTTCCCAGGCCTCTTCGGCTGGGTACTCATGCAGAAAGTGCGTCATCACAAAACGACTTGCCCGATCGATCATGAGCAGGAACTTCGCCTTGGTCCTTGTCCCATTGCGTTTGTACTCATACTCAAAGACATCCATCCCCAGGGTTTCCCAAAGGGCCGGAGGAGGTTCAGCGGAAGCTGCCGGGGGTCCATGTTGATGGCGAACTTCTGCGCAATCCACACACGTCAGCTCCCTGGCCATCTTCACGGCCCACTCCGGACATCCTCTCCTTTGAAGAAGCCTTGCCAGGTTTTCGAAGGATGTATGTCCAGCCGCCCGATGTAGCCTCAGCATGTTCTCTTTCACTTGCTTCAATTTGGCACCGTTCGGGGCCAAGGCTGGAAGTGCACCAGAGGTCATGGCATAGATCGGGCTCTCGTCGGCTGGTTGGAGCATGAATTCCTGAAGTTCCTGTTGAAGGTCTCGTCCTTGAAGTCGAAGTTCCCACTGGATGCCCTCGAGGATGTCCTTCACCATGGTCACCGGAAACGCAACCGACTCTGTGATGACATCATGTTCTTTGTGTCCAGGACACCGGCATCGTCGAAGGACAGCAGCAAGTTGATGGCTCGTCGTCAGGATTCGCCATCGCTTCCCATGTGCCCCTTGTGTTTTAGGATAATGACATCCCTCAACTATTAGAACATGTAGAGGTCGACCACATGCTGTCGCAGCCTTCCTGATGTTCTGCTCGGCCAAACTATCCTTCCAGTAGCTCATGTCCATAGGAGTCTCCCAGGCGATCTCGTTGCCTTCATGGATGCTCCTACAGGCTGCTTCAGAAAGAATTCTGGCTGACTCCAAAGCGCGTCGCTGTCCTCTCTGTCGGTTTCGACGGGCTCCAGGCGATTCTCCAACTTCCCAAGAGGACGATTCCCCTCGGACTGCTGGCGCTATCCACAAGAAAGCCGGCTTGGCTTCCGCAACTTTCGCCACAAGCGTGGTCGCCACATCCTTCTTGTCCACCTTCCACCCAGTCTCCTGGTAGTAGCCGTCGAAGGTGATGCCGAAGTTGCCCGCGCCAGCTCCAAAATGGCCATTGGCTCGGGCTCCATTGATCTCCAGCAAGTTTGCCGGTTCTATTGAATTCAGCAGAATGGTCGTGGTGCAAAGCAAGGACGCAAAGTAAGTAGCCCCTGCAGCGTGCAACTGGCGCCGAACAGCACCTGTGAAACCGCGGCTGCGCTCCTGAAGGCCCTGTGTCGGTGAGGTTGCCGCAGGCTCTGTTCCAAAGTGGCGCTCCACACCCCTCTGGCCAGAGTCATCCTCACCTTCGTTCGCATCCATCAGGGGGCCTTCTTCCAGCTCACCGTGCTCATGTTCTCGGCGTCGTCCAGGTCTGAGTCCTTGGCCGCATCTTCGCCAAGGGCTTCCTTCAGACGCATCTTGAGGGCCGCCACCTTGTTCTCCTGGTCCTGAATAGTCATCCATGCCTCCTCCAGCTCGGCTCGAGGCACACTTTCCTGCGGCGTTGACTTCCCATTCTGAGCAGCCACAGCGGCGTCCGAGGAGCGGCTTCCACTGCGTCGTGCATCGCATGTCGGTGGTGTCAGCGCTCTGGCCTTTGCCGTTGCGCCCTTGCACTGGAACAAAGTCGGAGGAGACATCGAGATTCCCCTCGGTCCTGTGTAGCCGGCCTTCTTCTCCATGAACGTCTCCAGGGTCACCTTCTCGTTCTGCACCATGCGCCGGCCCTGGACCTCGCGGATCTTTCCCAAGCACATCCTCTCGTTGACCTCGCCAGTGGGGAACTCGAGGGCCAACTCGTCCATGGCCTCCTGCACCACCGCCACTGTCGGACCCGCCGTTCGAGTCTTGCCACGGCTGCCCTTCGTCTCGTAGCGCAGTCGAAGACCGCACACTCCACACGCCATCCATGTCGCGTACTGGTTCTCGCGCTTGTTGCCGGGAGTGTGCTTGGTCCAGCATGGATAGCCACTCTGGCGCGGGTCGTCGAACGGAGCTGCCTCGCGAGCCATTCAAGCACTGGAGGCGAAACAAGGACAAGCGGGCACTCAAGTCTCGAAGTCGTTGCGAAAGCTGAGGGCGATCAACAACATGAATCGGCTCAACTGCGTGCTTGCCGAAAGGGAATGCGGCCAGGACTTGCTCTGCTGACTCTGTCCCCCAAGCACTTGACATGTCTGAACCTTCCTCGAGGCTATCTTCAATCTTTTTGCTGCATCCGGGCTGCTTGCTCTGCGCATCACGAAGTGCTTCAAGAGCACCTGGAGTGAACAAAATGTCCATCAAACAAGTCGCAGCATGAGGAAGCCGCACACCATGTTCCTGCTCGACCTTCAGCCGAAAGGAAGTCAGGTCCAAAAGACGCCCAGCAACAGGAATCATCAGATGCCCGGACTGAGTCTGGAGAAGTTCTGTGGCCCATAGGGTGCTTCTTCTATCCTGAAACCACAAACAAAGCCGATCGTACGAAATTGTCGCCCTAGCCTCTCTCAAAAACTTGCTGCCGAGCAGTGCCGGAGTGTTCTCAGCATTGTGAGTTTGTGGCCTGTGGTCGCCGTCCAAGGTGTAGAAGTGAACTTCCCCCAGGCCCGTCCCGAACAAGGTCACTTTCGAACAGGCCCGCAAACTCAAACCATCGCCAAACTTGAAGACGGGGCGGTCGTCGAGCGTCACCATGTGCTGAACGCCAGTTCTCTGAATCATTGTCTGCAGGGTCTTCACTCCAACTGCGTTCTCTGTCGCACCAGTGTCCAGGATGAAGCCTGGCGTTCCATCGACGGCCGCCATCATTGCGGTCTCCAAGCTCAGCACCAGGGCTTGCTCGAACTTGTCCGGAATCGTCAGCAAGGGGTCGACCTGGTGGAACTGCAGGTTCTGCTTCTCCAAGTCGGCGTCGGTCGGCTCTACGATGCGGTCGAGAATCGGCTCCATGGGCTCGGTCTCGGGGAGGTTCTCAGCCGGAGCGTCAATGAAGTACATATGGTAGACCTGGTCCATCCACATGTTAGCACCTTTCTTGCCAAGCTTGCCCGCTCCTTTCGCATGCCTATTTGGGCAATCTCGGAAGAAATGGCCAAAGCGGCCGCAAATCAGGCAGCCACCCTTTCCAGACGGCTTGCCTGATGACTTGCCCTTGCCCTTGCCAAGGCCCTTGGCTGAGGACTTCCCCTTTGCCGCATGTCCCGAGAGGCCGCCTTTCTTGCCGCCCAGGGGGTAATAGCCCCGAGCCGCCCGAACTTTCTGGATGGCTTGACGTGCTTCCTGCAGCGTCTTGGCTGCTTCTGCCGCCAACACAGCAGCCTCTTGCTCCTGCACCACCAGCGCCTCCTCTTCTTCGCCAGGGGCCCCTTCAACTGGAGGCTCAGTTCCAGCGACGTCAGCACCATCTTCGCCCTGCCATCCTGCGTCACTTGGCCACTCGGACCACTCAGCCCAGTACGAAGTCTCATCGTCCCAGGCCCAGTCCTCCCACAGCCAATCATCGCCGCCTCCTTGCCAGAGAACATCTTCTTCCCAATCTTCAGACGCATACCAAACCCCTTTTCGTCGGGCATGCTTGGCGGAGGGGTCCTCTTCGTCATACAACGCTCGGAGCGCTTGGCGGATCCGGTCGAAGGAAACAACATTGGCTGTGAGCGTGAGCACTTGCATTCTCTGGTCATTCGTCAGGCCGGCCGCCTTCAGCAGGCGGAACCCACGAAGCTCGTCTTCAAAGAAGCCAAGGTGCCGATGCACCTCATCATCACCACCTGGCTCCTTGACGGGCTCAGCGGAACCAGCTCCATCAGCAGCGGGCTCCTCTTCCTTCTTCTCAGTGGCCTTTGCTGAACTCGGTGAGGCCGGTGTCGAGGGTGTCGTGGACGAAGCAATCTTTTCCACTCGAGCCCTCGATCTCAAAAGGCTTGCTTGCAGCTCTCGGAAGAGGTCATCCTCCCGCACAATCAGCTCTGGGATGGACTCGCCCTCCTTCCGCCGCAGCTGATGCCACCGCTCCAGCTTGCTGAAGGAATCCGGTATTGGCAAAGTCTGCAACGGGGAGCTTCGAAGCACCTGCAACAGTTTCGAGAGTCCATTGGAGACATCAAACTCGTCGGGCGACAAATGCCGCACCACGCTCTTTGCGGGGCCGGTAAGGCGACTCCACACTCTCGCTGCTGCACCTCGCCGCTCAGTGTCTTTCAAGGTCTTCTCATACCACTTGCAGGCCACTTCAAATGTCTGAAAGGTCCCTGGATCTCCATTCCACGTCGGCACGGCATCAAAATCTCTGCCAGCCATCTAAGCACGGATCACCTTTTTCTCAAGCGGTCACCCTGAACCAGGGCTCCGCTACCATGAAAGTAGCAGTGTGCCACAACATCAGCAGGCCCACAGGCCTCGCTCCCTATCTTTTCCTGCGTGGCTCGAGAAATCCCACCCTGCAGACCGAGTTCAGTCCTGCACAAGCTCAGAACCTCATGTGAAACGTGTGTCATGCTTCAAACTCATACAAATCAAAAGGTCAGGTTTCGTTTGCGCTCGGTTTTCAACCTGCGGTTGTGAATGGAATGGTCTACCGGGTATACCATGCTGGACCAAGATGCTGTTTCTTGCGTTTGGGTGTAGGGATCGTCCGCCCTACTGGCAGCCCCCTTGAGCACAAGAGGAGGCTAGAGATAAGGACAGCCTGGACATGCGTGATGCCCCGGGCCAAGACGAGTCACTTGCACACGGCAGGCCTTGAAAGACACAAGGCAGATTCATGTAGACTACTGGGCCAGGCTAACTTAACTAACTACTTCGCGAAAAGCGGGCCCAGCTGTGTACATCTTCGATAGGTCAAGAAACATGAACGGGTGACTACTGTGGGGTGCTCTGAGCACTGAGCTTGCTGTGGACCTAGTGCATCTGTGCTCGCCCCGTGTACATCTTTGTTCCCTCGCTGATCACCGACTGCTTCCGCTGGACTTTGCACTGGGAAGCATCTGACCCAACGCTCGTGTTGAAACAGCCTCTCTCTCGGAACAAAGGCGCCAGCACTCCAAGCAATCTTTGGCCGTTCGTGGATCTGTAGCGGTGTTTTCGTGATCGTCCGCATCCACACACCACCCTTACCGTTCTTTTTAGCTGTGTCCACTTAACCTTTGTCCGGCCTTTGAGACCCATGCGCATGTCTCCGGGGTAGCACAGCAGCTCCATACGGCATCTTCAAAAACTGATCGGTCGGTAAGAGGGAGAAGTGGCACAGCTGCTACGCTGCTGCGCCGCTACACACTCCATGCACCAACTCGGCCATCCGGGGCACCTTATGGCCTCCCTCTTCTACGCACGGCGCAAACAGACAAGCTGTAGCAGAGATTTATGACCAAGCATTTCAGCTGCACCACGACGAAGTGTTGGCAAACGGTTTATCCACGACAATTCTGCAGTCTGTCTGCGCTTGCGCTTGCTTGAAGTGCGCGCATCCTAGCTTGGCACCTTTGACTACAACGGAAGAGATGATGTTTCCAAAGTGTGAAACGAATTGCCACAGCTGCGAGGCACTTAGACCAGAACCCTGATACTCCCAAGGCGTGGAAGGGAGACCAAAAGTTTGCTTCTTCAGAAGCCCAAAAGACTGCTGTCATCTTTTGTCAGCTGCTGGCAGCACCCAGCAGCTGTGTAGAACAAGGGCACGGCATGGCGCGGCATCGCGGCACTGCATGGCCGACCCTGTCACCGGTATGGGCACATCCACGACCTGCAGAAGCTGCATCTTTTTGAGGCACATAGGCAATACATGAAAAGGGGGAAAGACGGGGAAAGGTTCGGTTCTGCATGGTTTTAGCCTTGGGTTTGTGAGCTCGGTTCGCCTGAGGCTAGGACTGAGTCGGCAACACGGACGTGCTGTCCAGCCAGTTGGCCTGCGCTCAGACAGCCGTCACAACAATGACAAGACATGCAAGTAGCCGATACTTGTAGCTTCTCGTCACGCTCCACAGCTTTGCTTGACTTTCGCTCGTTCGGCCTGGCGTCCTCCTTCGGAAAAGACCACCAGCAGGGCCGTCATGTTGTCACCTGCAAGCCACCCGAGGAAGGTGGACGTGAGTGGCAAGTGGCACCTCGGAGCCTTCCCATCACTCAAAAAAAACACCGTTTCTTCAGAAGGGGCCTCCAATGCCCATCGTCTGCGCCAAGTCTGGGGACACACAGGCATCGAGCATCTCCTGGACAGGCGCAGCTTGAACTCACAAAGACTCACAGGCCACGACACACAAAGCCCTCGTCGTCCTCGAGAATCGAAGACAAGCGCAAGCGACCCTCCTGGCAATCCGTCCGCTAAGCAGGGGAATAGTGATGGCATAGTGCTGATTCGAAACATTAAGCACGTTTTTCCTATTTTCTGTTTGTTTTGCCTGGGCACCTGTTTCGATTCCTGCAAGCCGACTGCCCGTGGAAGGCCCTAGCAACTCCCCCTCTCAGCAGACCTCAGACTGACCCGGCACAGGCCTGCAGCCGGAATGCGAGGTCGGCGAAGCTGCCAAGGCGCATGCGCACAAAGTCGACAGCCTCCTCCCAGCCGTCAGGAGCACGACTATGCGGTCTATGAACAGACGACGGAACGTTACTTTGCAGACATCCATGTGCCCCGTAAACACGGATGCAAACAGGTCAGCATGCCGGTGCTGCTTTGAAACTGTGTAGAATTTACTGTCTCCAATCATTTCTGATAGCAGAGAACACTTACCTGGCTGACCTTATCAGGCTGGAGCTCTCTCTCTGAAAGCTGCCAACTCGACTGCACATCATCAGTCCTGGCTGCTAAGGACATCCCACCTGGAACGGCTTGCCAGAACTCCCTAAACAAAGAAGTGAAGACCCACAAGCCACAATTGTGTCACATGTGTTCACGCCATCGGACACGCTCTAGAGCCTTTGCTAAGCCACTGGCACACCATCGCAGGCCAGAATCATGAATTCGTCGTCCGCCTTCGAACAGGAGCAAGCCCCTCCCAGCTCCACCCAAACCAGGAACCCGAGCTAGTGCGCCTGTCGGCTGAAGCACCGGACGTCTGGATGGCAAGTAATGACTTGCTCCTGAGAATGGTGCAGGCTCGCTTCGCTTGACCAGCTGTGTCGCTGCGTGCAAGCTCGGCCGATGCTTATCTCAACACACCGCCAAGGGAGCAAGTAATGGGCATCCCGGCACCGAAGCACTACGAAGCACTACACCTCCGACAGCACTGCAACCAGCGAAAGCTAAACGGGTGACCTCGGCCGACAGGGTGTGATTCTGCTTGTACCTGGGGAAATACAGCCCGTGCCAAGTTTTGCCTCCAAGGCTTCTGAAGGTCAAGAGATGATGTCGTCTAGCGTTTAGGGTTTAGGGTTTAGGGTTTAGGGTTTAGGGTTTAGGCCGCTCCACAGGCTAAGGTGATCCCTCGGCGCACAGCAAGTCGCCGATGGAGCGGGAGAGATTTAGATTACCATTGATTCCTCGGCGAAGCTGACACAGGAGAAGATTGAAGAGCTTGCGCCAGTCCGTGGCTAACATTACATGCTTGTTGTTGGAATCGGCTGATGGTTATGAGATCTGTGGCCCAAACTATAGTGCACGTGGTTGCCCACGTGCTGCTGGACCACGGTTCCTCCAGCCTTCAGCACGTTCCATCATGGGCAGGCCAGGGTAGAACATCATTGACATTCAAATCCGCTGAACGATCCAAGTCCGTTCATCTGAGATACCCACCCGCAGCACGCGTGACAACTCCACCGGACTGTTCGGTTTGTGATCTTCTGACCTGGGTCGTCACAGCACTCGCACTTGCTGCAGCTAGGCTAGGTATGCGTGTTTGGCTTCAGGCCCTTGCAAAGCATAGATAGCTTGGATGACCTCCTCCCCCTTGTACATGTGAATGCTGAGTCAGAGGCATATCTATCGCCTTTCCGCGTCTGCAGAGAACCTTAGCTAGAGGTTGCGTTCAGTTTTCACATGCGTTCATCGAGCCATGACTCGAGCGTGTCTTGGGAAGCCAAGGGGCGGCTCGGCTATCTCCAGCATTTGCTACAAAGATCGCATCCGGGCGTACCACGGCCGCCACCTGCAAGTGATGGCCATACACGGGGATCCTGAACCCAAGTCTATAGAGGATGCAGAGCCGAGACCCAAGACCCAAAGCCCTTGCAGTTCTGAGGCCGCACACCATGGTGCAGCCCATGATTTCGGGGTTGGCCCAAGACTTGAAAGCCTTGGGGTCCGCTCACGCGCTGAAGAATTGGCCTTGGCCTGGACGCTGATGTTCCGGGAAGCTCTGGGGCTGTGGCTAAGCTTCGACCCAGGCTCTGCAGCTCTTCCAGGTACTGAGAATCCATCAGCAGAGTGTCCTGCGCCCCCAAAGAACCCTCAGTGAAGGAGAAGCTGTCCCCCTTCCACCGCTGGCCTCCCCCTTCCGGCCCCGCTGTGAAGCAAAGAGTATCATCGGACCCAAAACGTGCACGTGGGCGAACAAGATTCTGTTAAGGGATGGCAGCCCCCAATGATTCGCGTCACATCACCACTGCTATTTCTCCAGTCCATACGGTGGAAAGCCCGCATGAGCGCGTCGCTGCAGTCCTGCAACAGAAACGTGGAGATAGTTTCGGGTTCCGTCTATGCCTCCCAGATGGCCAAGCCTGGCTGTTCTGCAGTACCAGCTCCGCAGGGAAGTGGCGCTGGCAGAACCTCCAAGAAAATCAGTTTCAGGTGCCAGCACCTAGAGAGCATTTGCAGAATGAACTCCCAAAGCACTCCGGGAGCCCGTGCTGGGCCACATGTTCACCTCCATGACCGTCCTAAGAAGTGGATTCGCTCTGGCCCACATGGGGCACCAGGTATTCCGTACCATCGCCTCTGAAGCTCGAGCAAGCCTTCCGTTGTCCACTGGCAGCCAAGGCAGCAGCCATGACAACGAAGAGCGAGGAGTCTCGCCACCGCGCGCCTCCAATAAGTATCTGTGAGAGCCCTGCCTCCTTGTGCACAGAGTGGCTTGCTGGGCTTGCTTGGGGCAAGGCTGCTTGAAACCGCCGGAGAGGCCAGCGAGCTGATGGCCTTCGGAAAGATTGCAACTTGGGCTCTCTCTTCGCAAGTCGTCTGGAAATCTTTGCCCGAAAGTCTGTGCACGGGGCCAAGTGCGAATCCTCCATTCGGTCTCGCCTGCCACTGCCAGCAGAAAGTTATACTCGGGAGTGCTTCGGAGGGATTAAGGGGACAGCAACAATGGGGAGCTTGGCAGCTTCGTACGTAGTTGACGTGGTTTGCACGTGGCGGTGGCGCCAACCCTGCATGGCGCTGAATCCCCATTCCAGACCATTGGTGTAGGACCTGCAGCGTCGGCAGAGCTCTGAAAAGTATGGCGCAGGGCTGCAGAAACGGCGCAGCACTCACACGCACTAAGCATATACTAAGCATCCTGGAATCAGGCCTGCCATCTCCGGAGTCTTTCTGCGTCGACGGGCCTGTGCCCATAAGGGATGCGCAGCATGCTGGGGGGGGGGGGGGGGGGGGGGGGGGGGGCGTACTCCAAAACCATCCTAGTCCCTGCTTGGGGGGTACCTTCCATGTCATAACAGGAACCTCCGACTGGGCAACTCATTCGGAGAACTGTCCCTTTGGAGTCTGCTCGGAATACATGTCCGCACCTGAAAGCAGACCCCCCATGGCGGCGTACACAACCTGCCAAGGTCCAGCAAGCAAGGATGTCAAGAGCTGCCAACACCAGCTCGGTCGCATTGAACCATGCACATCTGGGGCTTTGGGGGCGATTCAACGTGTTGTGAGGGGCTTGTTCTCTTGATAGGTTTCCCTATTTTCTGGACCCCAGATGCACAGACAAGACCACGCCCGGATCACCTCCTGGGCCAGTGTCTTGCCGCCATCAAGAGCAAGCCAAAGGTAAATGGCGACGATCGGCACATGACACGCTGAGCGCACAAGGTAGCACAAAGGCTTTCACACAGGAACTATAAAAAGGCAACCCAATGTAGGGGGAGCACAGTACTAACTGCGAAAACCACGACAAAAGCCACGGACATTTTGCGATGCCGGACTCAGGGCGAAGGCGAGTCGTCCTTCTTTGGCCGCTTGGCCTCGGCGCGGTTTTGAGGTGCAAAGGCAAGTCTCTGAACCGTCAGGGGCCTCAGGGTTTCGTGGACATTCCCAAAATACGATACTCCTCGTTGTAGGAGCCCCAAAAGGGTCCCTCAAAAACCCAACAGCCCCCCCCCCAACAAAACAAACAAGAAGAGCACACCCGTTCTCGAAAGAAAACACACGTCGCCTACTAACTTCCGGCGACGGCCTCTGCCCGTTGGGAGCCTGGCTGGTCGCCCTCCTTCATCCCGGAACTGCCTGGAGCGCAAGAGCAGCTGGAAGTCTCCATTAAAAAAATCTGGGCTGCGCTTCTGAGGGGTTCCGGTATGAAGACTTCTGGTGGGAAACCTTCGGCAACAGAACAAAGACACAGACGAAAACCGTTGAAAGGCGCTTTCTGACAGCCTCTTCAGGTCCGCAACGCTGGGGCCATTAAGAGTTTGGTCCTCAGAGATCCAGCGGTCTAGGAATCCACAACAAGACACTGCATGCCACTGCAGATGTGCAAACGCGCGAACTGGAATCTGAGGCCCAACATCCTCGAGGAAGCCAGCCTGGAACAGATGGTGAGTTGTCCACATGCTAGCATCGCAACCATCGCAGACTACACCCAGTTGCCACGATACTATTGAACACACCTCCCTGCAGCCTACATGGAGACTACCTAGAACAAGACATGACGATCAACTTTCTCTTTGGTAGGGTGGTAGGCTCATTTAACTGGAAGGCTCTGCCTGCTCATAAAGCAGAAGCTGCATAACCTAGCGCAACCCAAATCACTAAATGAATCATGTGAACGCATGATTCACAACCCCCCACTCCCATTTCTCGAAGGCACTGTCATGGCTGGCAGGGCGCTATCGCCCAATGCTCGCCTCGGGCAGAGCTCATGAAAGGTGAACTGGATCCCGGTTGTTGCAGTCCGCATGAAGCGAACCCCCCGAGGCAAGTGGAACATGCTGGGTCGCGCTGCTTCTGCCGGCTTTCCCGTACCTTCCGGTTCTCACGCTCCATGTCCAGAACCTGCCTGTGCAGGGGGTGCTGGCTGGCTAAGGCTAAGGTCGCGAACAGAGGCTGGCTTGCAAGGTAGAGCTTACACTACAAGGTGCGAGCACTGCAAAACACTCTTGCCCCCACCTTGCTTCTGCGGTCTCGGTCTCCTTAGCCCAGAAGTGAAACCGACGAGTCGACAGAAGGGTTTCCACAGAGCACACACTGCAATACATGCACCATCTTCATAATCTTCACAATGTTCACTATCTTCGCTTCATTGCGCCACTAGCAGAAAGCTGCTTCACTTCCGAATAGCACCATTCAGGAAACACGCACTCCAACCACAGTTGTGTTTTTCAAGTCCAGATTGGTTCTATTGTGCTGACGCCCACCCCCCCCCCATACACACACAACAGGCTATTTGATTTGTGTTCTCCATATTTCGTACAGCAGTGGATGCACGTGGCTTGGCAACGCGGGAGAGGCGCTCTGTTGCGGCGGTCTTCCTTCGCCATGCTGCTTGTCGCAAGGAAAACGGCCAGACGATGATTGAGTACGGAACAACATCACACATAAATGCCACAGAGCTCCCCAAACATAATTTCATCAAGGGTGAACGGCCAGAGGAGCCTTGCAAGGTCCGAAAGTCCGAGCTGGATGGGAGAACTAGGACAGCTAGGATCAGAGGGGATCAAAACACCAAATGCAGGTCAATCGTGTGTCTTTCCCGTCCTACCTTCCCGTTAAGTCGCCCAGCACTGCCTGTGGTAAACATTTAAACTTTCGGGCAGCGCTTTCACCACTCTTCCACCGCTGCAACAGCATACAACTCCAAAAACTGGGGCCGTGGCTGTCATGAGCAGGGATCGGCGTACCGGTTCGTGCTTCCGGTACTGAGACTTCTTAAGCCTGGGTACATGGTCAGTTATTTGGTTAGAGGCGCATTGCAATATGGCAGTAAGCCCCGATGGCTTCGAGCTCGGCACATGTCGTGTGACTCCGACTTCATTGATGTGGGAGTGGCAATAAACCTGATCTCCCCGGGTTGTACACTTCTCGGGTCTCTTCTAGTTCCCTTCTTCCGGCTGCCATGTCAAGCAGTTTCTCCCAGAGGCGCGCTTATGTTCCAAGCGCCTCGCTTGTTAGAGACAGCTCCATGGCAGACGTAAACGTCCTGGCTGTTGACCTCGAAGATCGGAATCCTGCAAAGTGAAGCTGCCGTGGGTTGCGGGCCCCAAAGTAACCTAACCGTGATGTTACGGTATGGCTTTCGCCGGGTGATGTTGGCCTCTCTTTGACCTCTGTGATGTTGAAGGGCTCACTCCCCACATACAGCGTCCAGGTCCTTACAAGATCTTTTCAGTATCTTGGCCTTGCGCCTTTCTCACTAAGCAAGAACTGCACAGATTTCGGCACCCGGCCCATCCTCCCACTGAACCAGCCGGCAGTTGGACCTTCGGAGAGGCGTGAAACACTCCCCAAACACCAGCCAAAGCACCCCGCCAAGCCCATGGAAGTCAAAACATCCTCAAAACAAAGCACCATCAGCCCACGGCTCATGAACCGGCCGCCCGGCGGAGTCCAACACGTCATTTCCGTAAGCATCCTTCGCCAAAATGGCTTTTTTCTCCAGGGGGAGGGAGGAGGGAGGGAGGGAGGCAGGGAGGGCCGCTTGTGACTTATGCCCCGCCTGCTCCAGCCGCCATCGCACGCAGTTCTCTGGGCTTTGCAAGCTGACCACCTGGGGGGAAAATGGAGACAGGGAACACAAAAGGGATTGTCGTCGCAACACGTGTGCCACTGGTTCCAAAAAATATACTGATGGAGTTGATGCCACTGCAAATAGAAAGCTATCACTTTCTCTAGTCTCGAAAAACTTAGCCGCATCTGTATGCCCATATCTGGTAGCTGCGGAGTTAGGAACCCCAGAGTCACCGCAAGGCTCACCAGCTTAATCAGCCTAGTCCACACGGCAAGATGAAACGGCCGGCGGCTCCGCAAGTCACAATAAGCTGGTGACGTTCTGTCCTCTTGTGTTTTTGAACCTAGGCTTCCACAATGAAGATTGGCTCTCTATCTCTCAACGACCACAGTCACTGCACGCGGATGACCGCAAGTCCAACCTGCGCGCAGTCAGTGCTCGACGCTTGGGCTACTGCTCCTTGTACCCCTCCATCAGCGTGTCTGTGATGGACTCCAGGCCAACTCGGACAAGAGCACACATGAGCACGAAGATGCACACAAAGGGCTCGGGCTTGGAAAGGCAAATCGATGCAAATCGGCACAGGATGTCTATCAGGGCCGCGCCCAAAGATGACGCACGAGGCAAAAATGCTGGGGCACAGCCCCAAACGACCCAACAACCGCAGCACCAGACTCTGTGCTGCCTGGGCATACCACTGGCCGCCTGAGACTGGGGCGGTACTGTTCCTCATCGAAGGACAGCATATTTGGCAGTCGCATGCTGATGAGGGCCTCGGAGGCATAAAGCGGCCGAACAGAGACTTCGAGACATGATCTGGCATCATAGAACAAAGCTCGGCAACCAGGTACAGAAACTCGTGCTACAAAACCCACACACACACACACACGTTTCATGCTCATGATTTCTACGATGATAACGACAACGACAAGAATAGCGGATGGTGGGCATGAAGGCTGACCCGCAGCGACTTTAAGATGCCTGGAGCCAAGTCTACCTCTTTGTCTTAGAACTTAGAACGTACTGGTACTTCTTTCATCACATCACACCGTCGCCTGCAGCCCTCGATCCGCCGGGCCTTGTCTGCAGAGGGCATCATCCGCTCGTTGACGTCGATGCTGAGCTCCTCCCCACGTGGCCACTGGCAAGCCCTGCTATGTAAAAGAAGGTGTGGTGCACTGTGACCAATCCGTCGACATTAGACTGAAGCATGATCGACTCACAGCCTTCTCAGGCTCATCATCAGAGAAGTCTCCGAAAATGTCCTTCTCGTCCTTTGCTGAAGTGTTTTTGCAAAGCTTTGCATCAGTGTGAATGTAACAAAACCGCGAGGCAGCTCGCCCCACAATACTCCGCGTCTACAAATATACTCCGCGTCTACTAGGCGGGCATGTCCCAGCGTTGTCACTTCAACTGCAGCGCCTAAGGAAATGTGCTTCAAACGTGCGCAAGAAGAAACTTCGGGCCATACTTGCGGCCTGTGCAGTAAACTCACTCAACCATGCATGATGCACTCATGCGAGCTGTGCAAGAGGACATTGGCTGGCCGCACCAACTGCAGTGAGGGAGCCAGCTCACTGACGACCGACGGAGGCTGCCCCTGTGAGATAGACACGCGTTTGCCAATGTCATGAAAACGGCTGTAATGCTGAAACGGCGACCACGCAGCATGAATGAAGCACAAGACTGCAACCTGCAACAACAGAACGTCACCCTATGTCACCCTCTACGGATCCAAGCTCTGCCTCTCCAACAGCTGGTGCAGGGCGACCTGAAGGCTCCTGGCATCCGAGCCCCCCTTGCGGCCACCCTCTTGTGTTGCATTGCTTGAGCGGACAATTGGCATGGGAACATGAGGCGGATTTCCTTCTGCAAGCCCCACACACACACACACAAACTTCGGGCACTGCTTGAAAACAAATCATCTGCTGTGAAGCTGGACACCCTGGCAAGGGCCTGGGGCTCAGCCTCTTCCTGCTCCTCCTCAGAGCCAAAGAGTTCCAGGTCCTCACCTGAGCAGACAAAGCCGCAATCTCCACAAAGCCTAAAGTAGCCCCTTCAGGGCTTCCCCTAAACCCTAGACCCTAAGCTTACTAAGCCCTAAACGGCCCTAAACCCTGACAAACTGCAACTCCAGCTTCATGCAGCTTCGGCCTTCATCGTCATCGCCAAAGAGATCTTTTTCATCCGGATCCGGGCCCTGCAAGGGAAGCTGTGAGAGCAAGCAGGTATCCGATACAGAAAACTGCAGGATATACATCAATATACCCAATACCCAGATATGCCCACCTCCGCCTCTCCGTCTGACCCAAAAAGCTCCTGCTCCCCCGGATCGGCCTTGGCGCGGCAACAGCGGGCTCTCCGAGGATCTTATACCGTGGCAGAAGGATGAACACACAGACCGGCAACTGCGTTCTAAAGTCAATGGTGACTCGAAGGCTTCGCCAGCGGCTTGAGACGGCTGAAGGTTGGACACATGTGGGTTCGCTGGCCCTTTCTGCAAGGGGCTACAAGGGCTGCGACATGGAGGACTGTCTAGCTGTAGACCGCACTACAGCTCGAATCTCGAAGACTCAGACACCCAAGCGGCCTCGTCGACTGGCAAGTTTCCAGCCTCGCCATCACCGCTCGCCATTCGGCTCAGAGTTCGCAGGTGGCCCCTAGGAAAGTTGCATCTGCGTGGCATTGCCGGTGTAGATGGCTCGGATCTCAACATCTTGCTTGCAGGGGACAGGCTCTGCGAAGAAGTTGAGTTTTCTTTTGCTGCACCTGCTTTTATCTCATCCACGCTTCATCACTGCGGAAAGCAAAAAGAACGAATGCCTCAAGGCCCCGCCCAAAAGGATCACCAGGTACTTCGTGACATCTCGCAACAGCATCCCCTCCCTCACCCTTTTTTGCATTTTGCCACGCCATCTGGAGATCTCACGCGGCAGGGTTCGGGAAATGGACAGAACACCGTGGATGGCACCAACATGAAAGTCACGAACTCCAGTGTCCATAGATGTCGAGAGTCAATGGCCAAGGCATCTACACATTCCCCGCGGTTTGTCGACTCACGCTAGCCCTTCGGCTGCGCTGCAGGGCCAGGGTACATAAGCCTCATATGCACTCGTACAGCTGGGAGCAGCTGCTTTGTTCAGAAGACAGACACAGGGTACCCGGGCCCCACGTCACCCCACGAAACCGTTCATCGGCTTCAAAACCGCGGCTCCACCTGCTCCGGAGGGCTGCAACCTGGCTGCAGGGAGGCTTCTGATGGCCTTGCCGGCCTCCTGGGGAGGGGAAGTCTATGCCGCTACTGAGGCTGCGTCCCCCTGGCATGTCTCAAACAGCAGATGACCCTGGTTTTTTGCAGTAGAATCAACCTTCTTCATCGATCCGAGCTGTTTGCTACTCAAGCCCAGGAGCCTTTCGGTGCAAAGCCCAGGAACGGAAAGCGCAGGAGCCTGCAGAAGTGGGGGCTGTGTCGGAAAAGCATACTGTGGCATACTCAAGAGAACTCCTTACTGCCTCGCACAGCTCCGAAGACAAAGTAGGGCTGTAGCACCGCTTCTTCTTAGTCCTTCTTACCTTGACCTTCAACGTACCCTGCCTCCACGGGACCGATTCCAATCTGTCGCCCATGACATGCTTCCGGAAGCACTGGCGCAGGTCACGCTCACGGCTAGGCAATCTAAAATGTCACCGGTCCCCGCATCTTTAGACCGCTGGTGCGGGCCTTCACGCAGGGACCTCCGGTAACAAGCCCCGTTTCGAACGAATCGGTATTGCACGGGGCAGGAACGTCGAGCAACTGCCCACTGAGAACGTCACAGGCAACAAATGACAGCAAGATACCTGAGATACGGAGTTCAACGAAAACATGGGACACTATGTTGTCGCCAAAATGAGGTACTAGCAGTTGCGCAGCCTATTGTTTTGAGAGAGCTTCAAAGCGTCGCCACTAAAACAGGATCTGGGTACTCTGGCTCGAACCGTTCCACAGCTGTTGCCTGTTCACGTTCGCAAGGCACGTTTTGCCCCAGCGCTGCCACAGAGAGAAATTCTTTAGAATTGGCGTCTGGTGATGCCACCCCATGGCAGGATGAAACTATAAGAGATTTAGACAGCTTCTGGCTCCTGTGTTTTGGCAGCTGCGTGCTGAAGCTTCTGCTACAGATTCGCCGGCCTGCAGTTGAGCAGAAACCCCTGAAGCAAGTCTTCCGCCTCTGCGACTAAACTCTTCCCTGCACGTGGCACAATGAGCCTGCTCAACCAGCGCAGCTGAAGTCAAGCCACGAGCGTTGCCCGAGCGAACTTTACGCTTGCAAAACCTCGATGTCATCGAGGTCTGCAGGTGTAGGGCTTTATTGGGTTGAGGGCTTAGGGATTGGGAGTTGATTCATGCGTCAACAGACAGGAACTCTGGATTGGTACCCCCATGGGCCGGCAATGCTCAATACTCGCGTGCTCGGAGCAACGCGCTCCTGGACCGCCTTCGGGTCTGGCGTAAAGAAAAACAATACGACCACACGCGGCCCCCAGCCACAGGCTGTTTCGGAAAGCTAGAAGCCCACGGCGCAAGGATCTCGTCCACTTCTCAGCTCATCTGCACGTCCAAAATCTCAACCTGAGCGCCTGGACATTGGCGAGTCTGAGCAACACCCCTTCTGACCAACACCCGAACCTTTCCCTCCACTGCTCGAAGGACACAAATGTGCCGGATAGTTGCTATTACTGAGCATTGCTGAAAACGACAGCCGAACGTCGCGTGCTTGAGACCCTCACTCTGGCGGTGCAAAGGTCACACTCCCATACACCATTGACAGATACATACAGAGGCACAAGCCGACTCTTGGGGTTTAGGAGGTTTGGGCTTACGCAGCCAAGGAGATCTGTCTGTAGGCACTCTGGGAGATGGATTCGCAATCTGCAGATGCAGAAGCTAGACAGGCGAAGCTCGCCCAAGTGTGACGTGGCATGCAACAGTCATGCAAGTCCCGCTGTGGCTAAATTCAAAAGGCACCCTTCACCGCTGCTCTACATAGCCACCAAGGAGACAAAAAGACAATTTGCCTGCCCGTGCCAACTCTGTTTTGCGGAAAGAATGGCAGGTTGCAGTTCACTGTGCAAGGTGCTGGTGGGCACTGGCGGGCACCTTCGTGAACTTCGTGAACTGTACTCCCGAGCAGCACTCCTCCACAGGGGCCACAGAAGCTCTGGCGCGCTCTGGCGTGCCCTTCGGAAGGAAGTAAGGAAAACCAAGCTCCTCGAGCAAGCGATTGTGGCAAGTCTTAGCCACATCTGTACAAGCAAATCTGAGGAGGCATGACCCGGGGCCCACAAAGGCAAGCGGTGCCGTCGTGAATGATCAAAAGCGGGAGCAAGTGCCCCAGTGTTCTGAGCACGGCTCAACCCCCCTCGACATCAAGACACCCTCAGCTTCTCTGTGCTCTCGAAAAACTATCATCACACAGCCTTGCTGGAAAGATCCAGCTTTCACCAGCTGCCTTTCTTCTCTGGGCTGCAGAGTGCAATAGCCGATGGCCTACATGACAACATGGTGTGGTGGTACTTCTTCTAGATCGGAACAGTTCAGGCAGTCGATTGCCCAGTGCATTGGCAAGCAAGGTCTCGCCAGTGCATCTGTGCATATCGTGAAAACAGCCGAAGCTTTCCATGTCAGGGATGAAGTCAGAGTCACATAGAGCCGCATAGGGCCGCATTCCTCAACCATCGCTCCAAAGTAGAGAACTTCACGATGCTTGGCACTTTCCACGCTGGGGTGGGCACCGGCTCAAGGGGAACAGCTCGCAGGGCGAGGACCTCACACCACCAGGAACCGGACGACACTTTTCACGGCTGCACATCTCAACCTGAACACTGGGCGGCATGCTTTGCACATGCAACGGATCTTTACAGCCGCATAATGTTCGGTCAGAAGTCTGCATCCCACCTGGGAACTCACATGGCAAACGCGACCGTGAACAGCGCTTACTCTCCGAACTTGTCAGCTCAGTCTGTTGCGCTGCACTGCACTGAGCTGGACGCGTGCAATCCTCTTGCGCAGGTTTGAAGAGCTGGGGGTTATCCAGGAGCTCTTCTGACCGTGCTTGACCATGCGAGACACAAGACGAAGTCACACTGTTCATGAAGTCGCACTGCACCGTGAAAGCTCACCCGCATCACCCGAATTGCTTAACCAGTTCCAGAATCTCAGTGTTGGGTACGAGCCACATCGAGCCTTGCCTGATGTCCATGAAAGCACCCGCGCCTGAGAGATCTTCCATGTCGCAAACCTCGTTGTCCCTGCGCAAGGGCAGCGAACTCAGTGTTTAGGGCTGGCTGCAGTGTAACTGCCTTTTCATCTCTATCCTGTATGGACTTCGCCTTACCGACATCAGATACGGCAAGTGATAGCACGCATAGGAGCCCACGATTTTCAGTCGGGCATGCGCTTGTAGTGATGTCGAAGAGAAGCGTTTTCAACAGGATAGTTGGGTCTAGGTGCTGCTACTCAAAGTTCTGCTGATTCATGGGGGCAGGTTCGCTGCCCAGACTGTGGGAGTCATGTTTCTCAGTGGCTGCTCGAAGAGGTCGCTTGAAGCATCACTCCCCACTTTGCGATGAAATTTGCAGCCTCTCCTTCCGGAGGGAAGGTAGAAGTTGATGCTGCGATGCTGCTGAAAGCTGCTGAAAGCCCACGAACATCCGCGCAACATGTAACATGCGTGCAAGATGCGCATCATTGGACATGGCCCCAAACACCACAGCACGTCTGACGAATCTGGTGGGCATCTTGAGCCATCGGAGGATGCTGGGTCCATCTGTGGCAGCCGGGTTTAGGGTATAGGGTCTAGGCGCGCGCTCGGGTGTGAAACACCCCGGGCCGCGCGCTCGCGTTGCCCGTCAACCCACCCCGGCCACCCAAACTATACTCTATTAGGGTTTAGGGTTTATGGAATGTATTTTCTTGTGCCCTGATGCTTGCTTTGATGTTTTTAAAGATGCGCTGTTAGGGTTTAAGCTGGAGTTGGGGGTAGCCTCGGCCCTTTTCGGGCCTTCGGCGTCAGGGCCATTAGAGGCCCTTATTTATTTGAAGCCTTTTCGTGGCTCTTGGGGCCTTTTGGGGGCTTCCTGGGGGCTTTCCTGGCCCTTCCGGGGTAAAATGAGGTGGCCAAAACCATCGATTTCAGTACAAAAAAATCGCATTTTTCATTGCGGGTACGGGCATCCTGGGGTCCCCCTTCTTTTAGGGGGCCTTTTGAAGTCTTTTGAAGCCTTTTGGTGGCTCTTGGGGGTCTCTCGGGGCCCTGTTCGGACCTTCGGCGTGTCAGGGGCCGTAAAGGCTTTATTCATTTGAAGGTCAGGGAACGTATGAGTTTTTTTCGCCAATGAGTATTTCAATCGCTAGGGTTTAAGCTGGGGTTCGGGGTAGCCTCGGCCCTTTTCGGGCCTTTGGCACGTTAGGGCCCGTAGAGGCCCTTATTTGCTTGAAGGCCTTTGCAGGGTTTTGTGGTGTTAGGGTTTAAGCTGGGGTTCGGGGTAGCCTCGGCCCTTTTCGGGCCTTCGGCACGCCGGGCCCGTAGAGGCCTTTGCTGATTTGGGGGTTTCTGGGCTTTCCTACATCTAGCCCTGAATTCGGCGGCCGCTGCCCCCTGCCCTTGGCCCGGCACCCCCCTGGGCCGGGGACCATTAGCCGGGGGGGCCCTTGACCAGGGGGCCTTGGTCTGGGGGGCCCTTGGCCGGGGGACCCTTGGCGGCGGGGCCCTTGACCCCGTTGAGGGGGGTCGAAAACCAATTGCCTGTCTGGACCCTTCGCCAGCCTCCTAGTCCAGGAATCCAGCCACCAGGGGCCAGGGGGCCTTTCGGGCGGGGGGGGGCCGGGCAAACCCTGAACCCAAAACCCTGAACCACCTTTAGAGGCAAAGGGTTACGATTTGGGGTTATACTTTAGCTACGCTAAAGGTGGTCTGGGTGCCGGCCATCCCTTAGCCGAGTACTGACGTTGTCGTAAAATAGGCCGATGTCCATTGGCCTGTCCAGGACAGACGGTGAGGCTTAACCCTCACCTTTCCGTTTCTCTTTTCGC